CTCTGAATCCACTTGTTGACAAGAAAGGAGGAAAGAGCCACATATGGAAATATGTTGAATTAGGCTAATGTCACGTTGCCATAAAGGGCCGTTCACACGTTCACATAGCACGTTTTTTGCGCGTGCAAATTTCAAATGTAGGCGCGCGGGAAGCGCGCTCATAATAGAAGCGACGTGCGAGCTTGTTTTTCCAGGCGCGTCACTGTTTATGGTTGCATAGCGGAGACACGCGAGAGCGAGCGCTTGTGGAGAGAAGGAGAAAGCTGTGCAAACTGCGCTCTCCGTGATGACGAAGAAGTATCAGCAAAGAATTAATTGATTTCTAGCCCTTGCATTAGAAATCAGCTACAGGGTTCTCAAGTTTTGAAGACAGGCAAGAGTGACATTTTTGGCAGTTTTGGATTAAATAAAAGTAGGCTACAGTTAAGTCAAATAAAACATGTTTTATCTCCTGTATAGTTTGGTAACACTACAATAAAATACCATTCATTAACATTACTTAATGTGTTAACATCAACACATTGAGTGAACAATATATTTTTACAACATTAATTAATGTTTGTGAAAGTTATTTAATACAAACACTTGATTGTTCATGTTTGTTCACTTCATTCGTTGTGCATTAAATAATGTTAACAGATACAACTTTTGATTTCAAAAATGTATAAGTATATTTTTAAATGAACCCCAAGGAGAATAATTGCTACAGTATATAATTATGGTTTATTGTTAGGTCATTTTATCTAATGTTATCTAACAAATAGAATCTTATTGTAAAGTGTTTTTAATACTACAGTTTCCATCTTTGTAACTGTGATATACACTTTAATATATGTAAATTTTATCTAAATTAAGCTTTGGTACCGAAATTGGCACCGAGAACCGTGGATTTCACTGGTATTGGTACCGAATACTGAAATTTTGGTACCGTGACAACACTATAGCTCTACTACAAAGTATGACATTATCCGTTTTTTGGACACATACATTAATTTATAGGTTACAGTTTATGAAATTAACACCCACCATCCCGCGGTAATGTGTGCGTAATGCGCAGTGGCGTGCAAAGTCGACTTGAAAAATTACTTTGCCTGCCTTAGACACAGTTAACCAGTTTAACCATGCTTGCAGAAAGAAATATACATTTAATTACATTTTGGAGAACAGACCCGTCGATGTGCATTTGATCGTTGTTTGTGTTCAGATGTTCAGTAGCGGTCATCAGCGCGAGCACATGTGATGAGTTTTAAAGGAATTCGCCGACTTTTGGGGACTTTAGCTTATTCACCGTATCCCCCAGAGTTAGATAAGTCCATTTTTCATCTGTTTATTGTCGCAGCTCTTTACAATACAGCGAACACCCATGATTGTAAACTATGATTTTACTATTAATTGCTGACTCTATTACTCCAACTCTGAACAAACTCTCTGCTCCTCACCGCGGTGCGTCTCAGGTGCTGCGGTAATCACTCCGCCCAAGTAGCAGTGCTTCGCCTTCTGAGAATAGTTCCCATCTTTATACGGTTAAAAGATGGCTGTGTCTCATATGACCTTGTTATTTGTACACTCTGTGACTATACAAATCACAACATGTAAATAGGAAAATGTTTGCGTTATTTTGTCACTTATTGGGATTAGTATGCTAGCTGGAGCCATTTACATCCAGTCTTTGTGCTAAGCTAGGCTAGGCTAGCGGTGGGTGCATCAGATAGAGTAACAGCACGCACGGAGATGAAAAAGGTATGTATGGACTTATCTAACCTTGGGGGATACGGTGAATAAGCTAAAGTCCCAAAAAGTCGTAGAGTTCCTTTAAGGTTGGAAACGATCTCAAGCTGACTAGCTGAAGAGACACGGTAAGTTACCTTGAAAATAAATTCCAGCCACCTGCGCTACTACAACAACCAAAATGAAATGCCCCCTCACATTAGATGATGCTTGAACTCTGTTAGATAGCTAAATATCGTTAGCCTCATCATATCATAATTGCCTAAGTCATATTTCAATGTCTTTGGAAAACAATAAAAAACACAAAATGACTTAGGCAATTATGCTATAATTCATCTGTTCAATAAAATACCTTACCTGTTGAGTAATAAAAACGCCATCTTTGTCATCGTGGCCTTTAGGACATTTCAAAACCCTCAGTTCTCACAAGCCAAAACAATCTCTTTTTTATTACTACGTACCTCAGATTGCGTTCTCTATTTGCCAGAAGACTCCCCTTACCTCTGTTCTAGAGCCCTGCACGGGCCTCAAATCTAGGCCCTAGCCCGGCCCTGCCCCGAGACGCTCAGGCCCGTGTCCGACAGCTCATCAGAATGATCAGCCCGAGTCCGACCCGAGCCCGTAAAAAAAGAAAAGAAAACAATATATATAAACAGCCTGACCTATGTTGCAGTCAGTAAACCAGATATATTTTGTTTTCAATGGCAAAGTATTTACCGGTAGGTTTATTTTCATTTCTTTATAAAGTTAATTAAGAAAAAACAAAAAACAAAATTTATGACGACCAAGCAGCCGACAGCGAGTTAAACATGTTTGATCCATTGATTGATTTATAGCCTCTCAAATCAACACTTTACTTGGCTACAATAAAATCCATAGATATAAAACAACTTAAGCATATCACACAGACAGTTAACTGAGGCAAACTGCTCTGCTGCTCAGTCGCAACAGCGCTCGCAAACTAAATGAATTTATAATATAGGCTACAATACAGAGAATGCAATCTAAACAAATCAAATAAATTACATTAAAAACAAACATGCAGGTTATCTTACCTCAAAAATCAAGTCTTCACTACAGAACATGGCCATTTCCAATAGTTTCCAACAGACTCATGAAAATAAAGTCCAATCAAACAAAAAACAACCTCCTCCTAACATGGCTAAGAACAGTCTCAGAGCATCGTGAAGAAAAAGCACAGCATCCACAGTGGAAGGTTTTAATCCAGTCGTACTTTTTCCAGCTGCGCTGAAGTCACGCTCGCTACCATAGCGGGACACTAGAACGAGCCGGTCGCGCGAATCTCAGATCGCGCCGCCGGGAAACCTGTGTGTGTGTGTGTGTGTGTGTGTGTGTGTGTGTGCGTGAGCGTGAGCATGAGCAGACTGTCATGTGTCAGTCTTATGTCAGTGTGATAGGTTATAAAACGTCTTTCTATGTTTGCTTTTCAATCGTCATCTTCTCATGTTTTATTTTAATTAATGTCTAAAATAGGCTATAAAAAAGATAAGCCTAAAACAGGCCCGAGGCCCGGCCCGCGTGTGAACTATGACGTGAAAATTGGCCCGAAGCCCGGCCCTAGGAGCATAAATAAGTCGGGGCCCGTCGGGCTCGGGCTGAAATGCAGGCCTCTACTCTGTTCTGCGTTTATTTTAAACGGGTGATTTCCGGAAGTTGGAGATTTAGCGTGTTCCATGTCAACCTTTCTCGCTCGTTGTTCCATGTCAACCTTTCTCGCTTTTATGGTTGTTGTGAACATGCCACTCCTACACCATACACGCACGCAGTTTCCCGCGAAAACCATCCCGTCAGGTCAATTAATTAAACACTTATATTAAATGCAGTGGCGTAACTATCGGTAAGCAGGGTACGCGGTTGCTTACGGGCCCGGACCAATCAGGGGCCCGCTTGACTGGAATATATTGATTGACAGCCGGGGCCCCCTATCGCATATTACTACTTTTAGTTTGATCTCATTTTACTTTATCACGATTTTGTTTTAAATAAATAATGACAACAACATATTTTACAGATCATACATGTGTGAAACGAACAATCATGGATTTTGGTGTAATTTGTTTTGAGCTGGGACTGGGGAATCCCCGGGTCGGCTGTTTAACGTTACACGCGCGCGCCACTTCATGCGTTTTCTCAGATCGGATAGCTACTGATTTATCAAAACGATTCCATTTACAGCTGGTCACATAAATGTGTTTTTGCAAAACAGATATAAATCCGATCTTCAATTTCCGCGCTATATGCAGATTTAATAGAGTTCACGTCACCGAAAGCAACAGATAAGCTGCATTTTATTGATCATCAGCTAAAATGTCTAAATCGAAGACCTTAATTAGAGAGAGCGGCAACAGTACTGGTAAGATCATTTCGTTTCTTTACTTTTAATGAAGATGATTGTGTGTTAAGCGAGCGTCTGCGACTTACTTTCACTTTGATTTGCGATAGTTTGTGCGTTGGCTTGATGAATAGATGCTCATCTGCGGTGATGCGTGTTGTTGCAGAAGCGTCGTCATATCTGACTATGACATATAGCCTATAACACGCTCTCGCACGTTTATTTTTTTTAGCATTTTTAGAGGAGTAAAATTGACATATGTGGTTTCAACAACCAGATGCATTTACACCTGTCCAGTGTCGTCTGGAATGCGGCCCAGACCACCTCCTGAAGTGGTTTGAGCGACCGGATTCATTTCAAATCCGTCTCGAATGCGTTTCGAAGGGAATTTACACCTGGTCTTTTCACGATCGGATAGCTATACGATCACAGAAAAAGCATGAAGTGGCCAGGTGTAAACAGTTCCTTGCGTATTGCATGCAAAAGCCTACTCGTGGACATTGCGTCATCACGTGTTGTAGGGGGCCCGCCTTGATAATCCTGCATAAGGGCCCGGTGTTGGCTCGTTACGCCACTGATTAAATGTCTTACCATAGAATCAGACTGAGATAAAAACATGTTTTGAAAGAAGAATTGATAATGTATTAACTCATTTAAATGTTAATCTTGAACAAAACAAAAAAAGTTACATAGAGTACCAAATGTATAAATACTTATTTTGACACTGAACAGTAAAATTATATTAAAACAAACTTTTTTTTCTCCACAGATTAATCAAAAACACAACAATCTATATTAAACCTGATAAAATATAGATATAGAAATGAGACAAAATATAAAATATACATGAAATATAAAATTAGAGGGTAAAAAAAAACATTTCAACATATCAAACATTATGGTACAACAGACAAAAAAAGCAGCAAGTAAAATTTGTCCATGTAACTTAATAGTAATAAATGTAAACGGATTTTAATTCACTAAGCTTATAACTAATGGTAACAAACTGCAGATAAAGATAACCTGCAGCTTATAGTGGTTAATATGTGCTAATAATAAACAGATCATGTTTATTAGCTTTATCCCAATTCACATATTTTTATGGTATGCCAGTTTTAATATTAAAACTGTACCTGTCTTCGAGCCCCTGCTAATCGAGGACTTGTACTGTGCATTGTTTTGAGGTCTTGCATTGGAGTTGATGTATAACATGGGTTCCTGTTCAACAGCTGTTTAGCAGTCAAGATCAGTTCAGCTCCATTCATTATGGGACTGATCACAGCCATATTCTCTTTATCTAAGGTAGAATCGCTGACACTATAGGAGGAGTGGGGTTCCGCACTAAAGTAAACAGTACTACTGCAGTCTGCGGGACAGGTGTTATACACCGCACCCTTCTCTGGAGACTGCTGTCCAACTTCAGCACCAGAAAATCCCTCTCTCTTTTCAACCTGACAGCTTTCGGATCGTTCTCCTCCTTCCACTGATGGCTGGTTACAAGGGTTCCCTTCAGCATCTGTGTCGGGTGCATCATCATTCCCCAGGAAGAATGAAAGCCCTCTGTCTCCATACAGGCAGTTGATCTTGTCTGTGTTTCCAGTTTTGACAGCCAGGTGTATTAACATACAATGATGGTGCCAACCGCCCTCTAGAGGCTGAACAGAACAGCCTCCTGCATGCCTCACAGGAGCAAAATCAGTCACTGAGAAAGTGCCATGATTGTGTGTGGACGATTCAACTGTTGTGTCTTTGCAGTGTCCATCCGTTGTTCGGTCAATAGTTGTCAAGCTCATTTGGAGTCTCAGACTCTGGAGGATCTCAGTGGATTTTGGATGAAGAAATCGGTAGTAAAGAACCACAAAAATGACACCTAGAAAAATAGAGACCAGAGAACATTATAATAGTAATTTGCAACGTTACATTACACTATGTGAGCTTTTTATGTTTTTATAAGAAAAAGTGATTTCTAGGAATGCACAATACACACTAAAGAAAGTGACAGACAAAAAAAAAAAAAAAAAAAATGACCCCTTTATCTGGATATTTAATTGTACGTGCTCATTTCCCCTATTTTTCTATCCAGATCACCTTGCTGTCATCTAACGGCAATCTTTAAAAACACTAATAATAATTTAATAACAATGTTAAATATAATCTTTAGTAAATCTCAAAATGAATACTAATTTTTCATACTGTACATTATATGGTTGTGATGCCTAAATTCACTTGTAGCATTTTAAACAACTGATTTTATTATTATTATTTTTTTATTGAATTAGACCAAATAGTATAACATTTGAATAATGGCCCTTTAAAGGTTATTGGCCATAACATGAAAATAACATCAGGATTTTTTAATATCAGTGAATCCATAATGTTTACCGATAAAGAAGCTGCATAAGACAGCCACAGGAATACTCATGCTGTCCCATGAAGGCCCACTGAGCGAGTCTGACGCCAGAAGTAGAAGGAACGTGTTCTCCAGCAACATTAACTGTAAAATCAATCAATAAACAATAAAAAAACAAAGATATTAACAAAGCTATTATTCTTGAGAGAAGATTCACTATATCTAAAATGGTCATCAGCATAAAAGTCAACACAACCTTGCAGCATTTCACACAATCTGGACACAAACAGTCCAGAAAATTTTCCAAATATTTTGCACAATGTTACAATATTCTGCTGATTTCGCCATTCACATTTATTACTGACAGAGGAGCAGTGTTTTATTGTTACTAAAATTACAACTATTAAAAATGTATTAATTAAAAATGATAATATTTTTTATTTTTAATATCCTTTTATTTTTTTATTGAACAAAAATATTAATGAAATTAAATATATTTTTATATATTAGATGAAAAACTTAATCAAAATTTCTAAAATGACAAACTAAAACTGAAAAAAAATTAAAGCTAAATAGAATAAAATTACAAAAGCACATAAGATTACTAAAAGTCAAATCCAGACTAAATATATATAAATAAAAGTTAATTAAAATTATATTTAATAAATATTATAAGACAATATAAATAATCGTAAAATAACACTGCTGTGCAGAGAAACCTACCAAATAGAACCCAGTCATGCGGTACCGCGAGGGACCGTCTTTAACGTTAAAAAACAGGAAAATGTGCAGCGCCCCTAAGATGAAGTTGAAGAGACGCCAGGAACTCCGGTTAATGCAGATGTCTGTCTGCTGGGACACTTGCCAGAATGTCATAATGAGCCAGTGGAAACCTGAGCAGGGATTTTAAAAGACAATCACAAAGCAGCCATTTATTAACAAATCATCCTTTTCCAGGTAAGAGTTGGGCAATGACAAATTACCTTAAAGCCCTCAAGACTGTCACGCAAACTAACTGTGAAGACGTTTATGTGTAAGGATTTGACACAAGGCTTGACTCACCCAAGACTCCAGAGAACCACCAGTGAAACGTACTGCAGAAGAACATGAGGCTGGCCACCCTGGCACCCAACATGCCCCCTCTCCATACGAGCTGGCACAGCATTGCAGCAGGAGTCATGTGCAGGTGACCAGGACGAAGCAGAAAGCATGAACGGCTGAACAGGACCAGAAACCAGGACACATTCAGCAGGCTCAGCCCGACGCATAAGACCACTGTAGAAAGAGGTTCAGGGAATAAACAGTTTATGTTTACACTTGGCAGGTTTGATTCGATTAAAACGAACTCTGGTGCGATTGCTCTGTTAGTGCGGTACATTTGAATAAATGTGCATGTGATGCATTGATACTGTGGTGATGCGCATGTCAGGTGGGTAAATTTCCCTCTCCACTTCAAGTGAAGTATCGATTAGTCCCTTATTCCCGATTATGACGTTTGCAGTGCACTTTTACAGTAACTGTTGTTAGTTTCGTTTTGTTTTTTCATTTATTTTGACTTTTTTTTTTTTTTTTTTAGTTTACGAAAATGTTTTTTTGATCAATCATTTTAGTCTTTAGTTTCAAGTTTTAAGTTCATTGAAATTAAAAAAATAAGCTAAAGTTAATACAATGAAGGAGATTGGTTTAATCAACAGAAACTCAAAATAGTATGTTATCTGAACCACATAAATTATCTAAGCTGATTTGACAAACGAAAAAATGTTGTGATAACAAAACATGAAAATAATTTTTTACAGGTTCTTCTCTTCATATGCGCTATGTTATCATTACAGTTTGGTACAGGTGTCAGAGCCACGTACTTGTTTAAGGTCTTTACGTGTCTTTGTTTGTGTGCAATTAGGAATTCCTGGCACTGTTTTGACTACACATATATACGCACATTCAACAAGCACAGCACGCAGCATTGTTTTATATGTTTGATACACTCAAAAAAATGACTCTTTAAACTTACTTAATGTAAATTATGGACAGTGGTTCCACACAAGCAAATTGCGTTTTATTAACATTAATGGGATTTTTTGAATCTATGTAAGCTCCTTGTGTTGTGACAACACAACTGAATGAGTCCAAACAAATCAATGGAATTGCTTCCCTGTAACTTAAACCGGTTAAGTTTACTATTTAAATCTTCACTGACAAATAAAAGTATGTAGGATTTACATAATTTCTCAATTGAAATTCTATACTATAGCTTGCTATTAGCTTATAATAGCACTTATTAACATATTAAATGCTAAGATGTATATGCTCTTTCAGCAACATGAGTTATATTTAATTAATCAGTCCACATCCTAACCAAATGCTCCACTCTTCTCCACAATGGTAACCCACTGTAATTTAAATGGTTCTAATAATTGCAATGTAATTGAACATTAAACACAATTACACACTATAAAGTCTTCCCCTTTCCTCATTTTCTCAAAACACATAAAATAACACTTAATTTCAACATTTATTCTCTCTTAATTCAGCTATATGCAAAGCATGCTGGGAACTAACAAGCACCGCCCAGTTTAAGTTAATGCAACACAAATCATTCATGTAATCCAACACAAACGGATTAAGTCAACTTTAATTTTACATATTTAAGCAGATTGAACACAATCAAATTAAGTTTGGACAAAATGTAGCAATTGTGTTGCTTAAGCTCATTTGAAGCAATTTGAACAAGCAGCCAAAATATATTTTTTTTCATTGCAATATATTTAAAGCATTCCAGGACAGACTTTCCGAAATACTCACAGAAATGAAAGACTTTGCCTTTAGATTAACTTTATATTTTCTCTGAGGCCATCCACCTTTCCACTTTCTTCACACGGCATCTTCATCCAATACGTTGGAAATAGTCACATCCAGGGTTTTTTGAATCGCGAAATTAAACTCTTTACATTAGTTTAACGAATGATAATTAAGTATAGTTGAAAATTATACAGGTTAAGTTAATTAAACGCAATACAATAGTGTTTTGGTGGTAAAAGAAATATATGTGTGTTACTTTAACAAAACATATTTGGGTAAAAAGAACAGTGCCACAAAACCATTTTTTTGAGTGTATGTTCCATCTCAGATATATGTAGTCATAAAAGCTGTCCAATCAGGTTGTGACCTTATGTTTTGTTTCTTTAGGTTCTTTGTTAGAAATGATGGTGTGAATGCTAAGCGAACTAGGACTAAATGTATAATTTTCTTTTTTGGTAGTGTGCACAGCAAAAATGATTAAAGCTGTGTCTCATTTCGAAGGCTGCGTCCTCCGGAGGTCACATACGTCATTGAGACTGCTTCATTTCAGTAAACTGACTTATTTCATTACTTCCACAGAAAACTGTTGACGTGAAGCTAGTTCTGTTCGTGCCAATGGGAAGTCACATACCTGGTGACAGAAAGCCGGGGTGAAGGGTGAATAAACTGTAGGTCTGCAGTAGACTTTGAGGCAGGCTGAGCGTCAGGGCCTCGATCAGACACAGAGCAGAAACATCAGCCTGTTGCATTAATAATGCAACAAACTTCAGCTGCCCACCTTGAGACTTCATGCAGCTCCATAACCTGCAAATATAAAACATATACACACATCTTAGAAATCAACAGCAGCCTTTTGTGTGATAAATAATACCATTGGGTGAATCCACCTGTCATGAACATGCAAAAGTCATATTTCACTAAATTAAAACTTAATTTTGAGATTAAAAATACAGCAAAAGCAGTAATACTGTGAAATATTATTACAATTTATAATAATTGTTTTCTATTTTATTTAAAAATGTTAATCCTGTGATGGTAAAGCTACATTTTCAGCATCTTTACTTCAGTCTTCAGTGTCACATGATCCTTCAGAAATCATTATAATATGACGAAACCAGTTGTGCTGTTTAACATTTTTGTGGAAACCATGATCATTTTTTCCCCGGGATTCTTTGATGAATAGGTCAAAAAAGTTCAAAAAGTTTTATTTATGTTTACATAACTTAAAATATCATGGGGGGGGGGGGGGGGGGATGTGTTTAAAGGGATAGTTCACCCAAAATTGACAATTCTGTCATTAATTACTCTCCCTCATGTCATTCCAAACCCGTAAGACTTTTGTTTATCTTCAGTAAACAAATGAAGATCTTTTTGATGAAATCTGAGAGCTTTCTGTCCCTCCATTGACAGTCCACACAACTATAAAATAGATTTAATTTAGGCTTTTATTCACATATAAACATTGATCAACTCACACATCATGAGTTGTGGTAAACAGAAGCTCAAGCATGTTCGCTTGATGTGTGAGAATCAATGATATTCATTCTCGTGTTACGCAGCACGTTTGAGCTTCCGCAAGTGGTTTGTTCTCGCACGTCAAGCATGTTTGGTTGAGCTTCTGTGTATGTTCGCTGATCAATGTTTATATGTGAATAAAAGCCGAAACTAAATCTGTTCATCATATAAAGCGATTGAGTCTCTTCAGAAAATTTTGACTAAACCCCTCAATTCATATTGATTACTTTTTATGATCTCTTTATGAACTTTTTGAAGAGTCAAAGTGGTAGTTGCGTCACGTGGACCGTCAATGGTGTCAACCGTCAATTTCATCAAAAAGATCTTTATTTGTGTTCCAAGATGAACGAAAGTCTTACAGGTTTGGAACGACATGAGTGTGAGTAATTAATGACAAAAATTGCATTATATCTATATTATATTATAATAATTTATATTATATTTTATTAACTATCCCTTTAAGTGTCACAAAGCATATTGTCACAATGCAAAAAAACAAACAAACAAAAACATTTAATGGTCCTAAAAATAGGCTTCATTTTATTCACGCAAGGTACAACCTAGACATTTTTTTATGAATTCACCGGATTATACAGTATGTTATTGTACTGTACAGTAATTTACTACACTTTTCCACCTCACTCTTTATAACCGAATGAATGCAGTTCTGAATCTAAACGATTTGGTGTTTTGACCTGTGATAGATGCCCAGATGCAGGCAGTGCACAAGGATGAGTGAGGGCTTGGATCTGTCTGCATCATCAGTGATGGACCACCTCAGACTGAGCATCTGCACAGCAGTGACAGAAGGCAAGCACAGACCCAGTGTCAACCAGGCCAGCAGCTCTTCTCCCATCCAGAGGTAGTGTGTGAAGCACAGTACAACTGATGACAGAAACGACAAAAAAAAAGTCAAACAACAGAGTCCATTTCGATTTTGATTTGTTGGTGTGGTGCCCTCTTTCTCTTCTTCTCGAGCTCTGTCTCTGATATGAAGCAGCTGTGTGACAGAACACGCCCCCTGCTCGCCATTCATGAAAAAGGCGCTCAAATGCAGTGAAGAAACCATAGCAGCATTGTAGTAATAATGTGCAGTAACAAAACTGAACTCATAATAAAACAAGTACGAACTGGCAGAACCCACATCCACATGCCGATGCAGCTGCCAAATATGGTTAGTAAGCACATATAGCGGTTTGGGAAGGAATGATTACACGGAAAATAACTTACGTGCCGCTTTCTCCAATAAAACAATGACTCCTGAAAAAGAGTAGAGACATACGTGACTCCATGTGACTGCACTTCCCTTTCGATTCTGCATCGTTGCAATTGTGTCTTTTTTCAAAGTTTGTGGTATTCCGTTATTCAAGGACTCTTCTGCGCTGAATGGGGTGCCTTTGTGTGGCTCTTTCTGAGTCGAGTCCTTCTGGTCAGTTTTTGGAGGCTGCCGCTCAATGTGACGTCACCCACCGAGCAAATATGAAATACCGTAGTTCAAAACCATATAGCCATAATAAATCTTCAAAACAGCTTCGTTCATATAACTAACACAAAATGACAAATAATCTAAATTTGTCTAAAATCTAAACAAAAAGGTTTTATATTTCATGTGGGCCTATTTATGGAAGCTTATTTCCGCCATAAAATAAATAAATAAAAAGTAATTGTGACTTTTTATTTCGAATTTTCAGCATCTTTAGTTCAGTACTCTGCAGTGTCACATGATCCTTCAGAAATGCTTTTCACTGCAACTGTACTTTTCACACTATTTTATAATTTTTTTCATTGCTGGCTAATTTTATGGGAAGTGTAGTGAATAAGAGACCTTCAAGAGACCAACATTGGTCCTCCACAGTATCAGGTTTTTGCCATCAACTGCAACTGTGGAGAGATCCTTTTCAAAAATGAGGTTAATTAAGAACCAACTCCGAAGCCTTTGGTCAGAGGAGAGACTCTCAGACCTTCTCCTCATAGCCATAGAGAGGGACATCCCAGTGGATCACAGTGAAGTCATAAACATTTTCAAGCATGGCTCACAGAAGGTTGCTGTTGTAATTAGGTTTAAAGAAGCCCTGAAACCCTGTATATCTATATTATCTATATTATTATTATTATTACGGTTATTAATAGTGAATAAATCTAAAGCTTTTGAGACTATTTTTTTATTGAATTTGTCATGAAGATGAGACCATTTCCTCCTTTAATGTAGGCTTACTAAATCATCTTGATATAAAAAAGGGAGGGGGGTGCCCTTTTTCAGTTTCAGCACATGCCCCTCAAAAGGTCTGTGCACGGCCCTGCATGTATGACTTCAAAATAATGAGAGAAAGAAAAGTATTATGAGATAGAAGTAGCATGAATAATTATGAGATAATAAATCGAAATTATGACATAAAATTTTTAAATTATGATATCAAAAGTCATGTGTGACATTATGAGATCTGTCAAAATGACAGAAAAAAACTCGAACCTTGATGTTAGGACTTTTGTGTCATAATTATGACTTTTTTATATCATAATTTACCAAGCATGATTTTCTTCTTATGTGGTGGAAATTAGCTTCCATACTATTCATCACATTTACATATGAAATAAATTAACAAACAGTACTGTGATTGCTTAAGTAAACAGATTTGATCACGTCAGAGTCAGCAGACCCACGAGCACATGACTTATCATCACGTGATCTGTCGTTGCTTTATATAGCCATCGGCGTGTTCTTCGCCTGTTGTTTATTTCCGCCCAGTGGAACTTTTGGGGAGCGAGACACACTTTCAAACAGCACAACTGCCAGCAGACAAACGACAGGTAAGACTGCTACTCAAATCTGCATTTAAATCATGAGACTGTAGATTATTTTTCTTTCATTTGTATTCCAAAGAGATATTCAAAAAGGTCATGGTGATATAGGAGCGTATGATAACTTATCAAACGAAAATTATTGTTCAAAACATTTATCAGGGAATGACTTCATCTTTATCTGTGCAACGGCACTTCCTGCTATCAAATGTAAGCTCAAAGGCTTTCAGACTTCTTCATTTGACCTTAAAATATGGATTAATTGTTGGTTTATGCAAACAAGGCCTGCAGTTAAAAACGAAAGTATGAGGAATGGAAACCAGAGCTTGTCTTTAAGCGCATGGGAATGCTTCAGTAGCTCAAGTTGACATTACACTGCTAGTTTACTTAAAGAGACACTATTGTGTTTCAAACACGAACAGCATCAGGCAGTTACCGGTAATGGTCTTGCACTTATCTTAAATGGCAATCCCCAAATGCAGCGAACAATATTTCATATTGCATTCTTCACTACATAGTTGGCTTCTGACGGTGTTCGTATCTTTTGTTTTTGACTATAGTAATCGTCCAGATTACCCCTGGGTTTGGGGTCGAAGTAGGCTGGGTTTCTGTTAATAAGCAAGTTCCTGTAAATTACGCTGACTCACGCACACTTGATGTCATCATATGCCTATTGGAGGAAGTGCAACCCAGCATGAGTATATTTGTGATGAGCTTTTGCTAAGACTCTTATTGCATCTACAGATTTTTCAAAATTGCATCTTAATAATTTGGTGTTTTAAAACAAAATCAGTTCCTCAACTACTGCTAAACCACTGAGGTGGATCCCCCTTTTATAAATAAGATGCCTAAAACCTAAACCTCTTACCTGAGTAGCCTAGTTGATCAAGGCTTGTTTGTCTTGTTCATGTACATCTTAAATGTCTAGAGCTTTCACTTTTGCATGACTGCAGCCTAAAGATGACACTACTGTAGGCAGTCAGTGAGCTGTTTCACCTGAAGATTGAAGTGACCTTGATGTGCCGCTTGACTCCCTTTGGTGTTTCAGACTATGGCCTGGTTTCACAGACAGGGCTTGGATTAAGCCAGAATTAGGCCTTAGTTCAATTAGGACATTTAAGTAGCTTTTATAAACGTGCCTTAGAAAAACATTACTGGTGTGCACCTTGAGACAAAACAATGGCACTGACACATATTAAGATATGCCAGTGCAAGTTGCTTTCAGTTAATTCCGCTCAAACATGCATTTTAGTCTTGGTCTAGGCTTAAACCTAGTCTGTTTTCAAGTGAGATTGATTGAGTTTTCTTGTTTTCAGAATGTGGCGCCTGGCTTTCCTGTGCGTGATCTCGGCCCTTTCAGTTAGCTGGGCTCGACCTCGCCTCGCTCCTCTGTCCCATGAGATGGTCAATTTCATCAATAAAGCAAACACTACTTGGAAGGTAAGATGGTTTTCTACTCTGATGCTCTAAATTGCATTCTAGGGAGGATGACTGGGCCGATATTGAGAAACCATTTGTAATGCTGTTTTCCTATGCTACTTGCTCTTCTTAATTTTAAAATTGAATTCAAGAGTCTGGTGTTCTCCCTGTAGGCTGGACACAACTTCCGTGATGTTGACTACAGCTATGTGAAGAGGTTGTGTGGGACTTTTCTGAAAGGACCCAAACTCCCTGTCATGTGAGTGCAACTGAATGTGGTGTGAGAAAAGAAATGAGTGGGGAGTCTTATAGAGGAAGTGTAACTTGTTAACTTTGCAGTCATTGTGTACATACTGTGTGACTACTTTGTCATGTGATTTCATGCTTTACGTAGGTTTCCTCATACCTATATTTTTCAGTTCTGCCTTCTAGTATATAACAGAGTTTGCTTTGTCACTCTTTAACCAGGGTACAGTATGCGGGTAACCTCAGGCTCCCCACTAACTTTGATGCCAGAGAGCAGTGGCCCAACTGCCCCACTCTTAAAGAGATCCGAGACCAGGGTTCTTGTGGTTCATGCTGGGTGAGGTCTTCTCTGGTGCACACAGTATGAGTTTGGATTGCAATTTGTGTTTGTTTCATGTTTTTACTCATGGTTTCATGGTTTTACACAGGCATTTGGGGCTGCCGAAGCCATCTCTGACAGAGTATGTATCCACAGCAATGCTAAAGTGAGTGTGGAGATCTCTTCTCAGGACCTGCTTACCTGCTGTGACAGCTGTGGCATGGGGTAAGTTAAGTGTGCTAGTGCCAGCTATTTGACAAGAACAAGACTTCACAAACAATTTGTTTGATTTCATCCTGCAGTGACTCTGTGATCTGTTTAGTTAATACCATTTCTTGAATTAAGTCTGGAATGCACTGCATGTTTTAAATTTCAAAGCATGTTTTGGCATCATACGCTTGCTGACGTTAATGTTACAGAGGAAAAGCTGGGTATCATACACTAAATGATAGACTAACTACACTAAACCAGACTTTCCGGTTACAAAAATTCATGACAAAAGAATTTATTCTAAAATTGGGTCAATTTCAAAAATAGCCTTGATTTGTCCAGACTGCAAATTGGGGCAAAAAGTTGTTCAGAGGTTGTAGTGTATTCCAGCCTTGATGTTTGCGTTTTGATGCGGTTTTTAGATATTACACTAGATGCTAAGTCAGTGTGTTTTGATCTCAGATGTAATGGTGGATACCCCTCTGCTGCTTGGGACTACTGGAGCACAGAGGGTCTGGTCACCGGTGGACTCTATAACTCCCATGTTGGTTAGTATCTACCTTGATTTTTGATGAGCATTTTAAGCATTGAGCTTCAACTGTGTATTAACCAGATTTATTTTTAGGCTGTCGTCCATACACCATTGAACCCTGTGAGCATCATGTGAATGGCAGTCGCCCTCCTTGTACCGGAGAGGGTGTGACACTCCCAACTGTGAGATGTCCTGTGAATCTGGCTACAGCCCTTCTTACAAGGAGGACAAGCACTTTGGTAAGAACTCCGGGAAAACAAATTGGTTCAGGTCACATTTCAACATTATTATAGATCTGATGTTTATATTCACTTGTTAAAGTAAGGTTTTTTTTTTTCGTTTTTTCTCACAACTCATTGTTCTTCAGTGATCTCACTTTTAACCAATAAATTTGCATCTTCATCATTATGACTTCTGGTTAAGGACTGTTTCAACCTGATCAAATATTGAGAGTATGGCATAACTTAAAAGTATATTCCTTACAAAAATGGACAGTGTTTGAAGATTCATTTTCATGACTCTTTCCAGGTCTAGAAATCCCCTTACTCAGATTTACAGGTCTGCCAAGACCTTGGAAACCCTGGTTATTAAAAGAAAACCCATTATTGAGGGGGTGAATTAAGAGACATCTTGTTTTAGTTAATTTAAATGATTACACCATATTGAGCCCCCCTTGGAAGTTTGCTGAGCCGCTCTAGTGGGCCTCGGCCTCCTGGTTGAGAACAGGATGGTTTAGAGTTAGGATGATTTGAATGCTGCAAGATGTGAATTCATGAATTGAACCGTTCTGTCATTCTAGGAAAGACGTCCTATAGTGTCCCATCTGATCAGAATGCCATTATGCAAGAACTCTTTAAGAACGGCCCAGTTGAGGCAGCCTTCACGGTGTATGAGGACTTCCTGCTGTATAAATCTGGTTGGTTTCAGTCTATTCACGCGTCTGTCTAGAGTACTAGTGCAGCATGGAACAGTTCTAATTCTTTTCTTTTTCTGTTAAATAGGTGTATATCAGCACGTGAGTGGATCTGCACTAGGTGGTCATGCTATTAAGATCCTGGGCTGGGGAGAGGAGAAAAGTGTCCCTTACTGGCTTGCTGCTAACTCCTGGAACACTGACTGGGGTGACAATGGTGAGGGTCATTTATTTAGTATAAAGTCAAATTTTATTGTCTGCAGGTTGTAACCCAGCTGATTTTACACAACATGCAGGCATTTGCTTCATCTGCCCTATTTTCTTTTGTCGCCACTTCAGGATTTTTCAAGATTCTCCGAGGTGAGGACCACTGTGGCATTGAATCTGAAATTGTTGCTGGAATCCCAATGTAACCACAAAATTGCAAGAGCTGAAATGAGCGCACTGTTCAGAGCGTGGACATTGAATGTCTTCAACTTAAGCTGACTGCCATCTTCCATGGCCATGGTACAATAAGCAGTTTTAATCAATGAGTGAGTTTTATTAAGAGTCTTTTAAGACAGGGACCCCCAATTGATATGTTTTAGTTTATTTTGAATTGGGGAGTGACATTTTTATGCACAAAATCTGTAGTCCAGGTAATTGGAGTCAGTTTTCGTCCAATGTCTTTAAAGTTTTAGCACATCTTGATGCCTCAGCCACATTTTCAGTATGTTTGACTTTTAAAAGTTGCTTTTTAGATTGAATGATTTTTACTTGATTGTGTTTTAATGCATTTTGTCTAAAGTGTAATAAATATTAAGACCAAACGGTTTTGTCATGACTGCTTTTCACTTGACACATCTTTATCCTTAAAGGAGCTGTATGTAAGATTGTGGCCAAAACTAGTACTGCAATCACTGTCAAATTACTGTAGAGTGGTGTATACCCTCCCCCTCCTCCCTGACTCAAGGTTGCCAGATCAGCTGCAGGATCCAGCAGGAACATGACGAGCTGCAGCTGTGGTAACTAGAGCAGAGCTGGCAACCCGGATGCCGCAACACTACTGACTTCGTGATTGGTAGATAGGTGGAGGGTGGAGCATCAGACCAAAACACATGACAACATCAACATCAGTTGAGGGCTGCAACTGCACTTTTTAAATGACAATATCCTGGCCAGACTACTGTTGTCAGTGATATAAGTATTTGAAATGTACATGATTTCTTAATGTCTAGTGACATTTCAGGGTCATTTTATGATTAATTGAAATAAATTTCTTACATACAGCTCCTTTAAATGGTTTTCTTTCCACCTAGGTAGAAAGTGTAAAAAAAGTATCAGACACAAATTGCGGTTTCACACATTGTATAGAAATTCTCAATGCGGAGGCTTGATGGTTTTGAGAGATCTCTACTGGAAATTGGGCAAGAGTGAGCTTTTTGTCTCTCTGGAAGTGCAATACAGCACTTCACTAACTTGAGCTTAATTTTTTTTTAAGTGGTAAAGCACTGTTAAAATTGTTCACTTATGACAACTTAAGACATCTATATTCTGATCCATCCAAATCCTTTTGCACGGAGGCAGAAAAATGAAAGCAGCTCAATTTTGAACTATTTAATTCAAAGGTATTTAACCCCCCCAAAAAGTGCAGTATAGAAATATGCCAAGAGTTGGATACAAACCCTAATAATGGTTATTAGATCTTGGCTGTGACTAGATTTTTGCATCAAATTCAGTAAATTAAAGGTTTGCATAGTTTAAATGGTGCAAAAAAAGATGAACTGATACTATTTCAGATGGTTGTGTGTCTGGATTCCACATCTCTGGACATTTCTGTATAGTTTAGTGGTTTCACAATAAACTGTACAATGATGCTAATATCATTAACATGTTTTTAGACCTTCAAAACAACCTTTAGTATCCAGCAATAAATGATGTGTTGGTCATAGTACTGTATATGTAGCAGGAGAGGGGTTTCCTATGTATGGCTGATATGTATCTGTTTGAGATGTCTTTAAAAAAAAGAAAATCAGTCAAAAGTTGCACTTCATGCTTAATTTGGCATTACATCTCTGGTTGCTCCTGATGGACTGGCATGTTCTTCTGCTCCTGATGATCATCTTGCAGCTCCTGCTCTTCTGAAGGCAGCAGCTAGTCATCCTGTTCTTCAAGCTTTTCAGGTGTCTGGTGATCTACAGGCTTCTCTTCCTGCGTGTGGTGTTCTTTAACTGGGTCTTTTGTCTCATTCTCATGTTCAGACTCTTGGTTGACTTCTGCATCTCCATCCTCTGGTTTCGTATGTGTTCGCTCTTGTTTTAAGGCCTCGTCAGCTGGTGGATCAGGGAGCACAATATTGCTTTCTTGCTGTTGGTCAATCGTGGATGATGATAACAGCTCTGAAGGAGCCAGTAGTCCATCCAGGTTCAGATCCTGAGCTTGTAGCAGGTAATCCACCAAAGATACAACCTAAAATGTAAATGAGTTTAAGTCGTAAAAGAACTCGAGAGATTACTTAGAATGTTATGACAAAACTAAACAGCACTCACAGAATCTGTTGACTTTGGCATAACTTCATGATAAGTCAGGAAATCTGTTAGAAGTTGCATCAGTTCAAGCCCATCCATCTGCCCACTTCTATCATAGTCATACAAGGAGAAAAGGAAGAACACTTCTGCGACAAGAGAACAAATCATTAATAAGCTTATAAAAACCTTAGAGTAAAATACAGGCATACATCCACATGATTATTATTATACATTTTCTATATGCATTTATACATTTCACAGCAAGGCATACATTTGAAGTGGATCAAAAAAGTTAATCAAAGTTGTCCTAAGACAAGAACGAGTATTGTTCAAAATTCATGTATAACTTTGATGAAAGGTTTTGATCCACTTCAAATGTTGACTACTAATATATATATAAAGAGAGAGAGAGTACTTTGTGCCTGTAATATATAAATAAATGCCATTATGTACATAGATCATCTGCTGTGCTTCTAGGAAAATAAATGTACTATACTTAAGTATTTTGAATGTAACTGTTTAAGATCATAGTCCTTGAAATGTGTTCACATTCAACATCAGGACCCAGGAAATAGGGAGTGGAAATATAATAGAAAATCCATGCAAAGCACAAAGGAGTGAAATAAAAGCAGTTCCTTGAGAGATCATGTTCATAATGAACCATTAACCTTGTTCCCTGGTGTTCAGCTCTGGACTGCTCTGTCCTTCCTTTACGCTGCTCTTGATGTAGCTTTGCAGGAGCCTGTCATACAGAATCAAAGATCATTGCCCACTTTAGTTCTGCCTTATATGATTACAGTAGGTAAGGTTATATAGGGAAATGAGCATGGGTCTGAATTCATTCAGTATTTTTCCATGTTGACACATTAAATCTACACTTTAAAGATAAATACTGGCATAATTGTGCTAAAAATGCACTGTATAGAAAACTGCATAGCATTTCTCTAAAATATGTTACGACATTTTTTTAAATAAGCAGGAAAGCACAACAAAGCATTTTGTTTGTATCACTTTTTTTTATAGCTATTGCTTGTTCAGCATGTGTGTCAGCTGTGGATATCTCAGCATTATCTCTGGTGTGAAAATGGACTCTGAACCTTGGGGCAACTGTGCTACCTTGTTTGATCAGGTAGGTTTACAGACAGTAAGGTAAGATCAGGGAGATGTATTCAAAAGAGATAACCTGCGGTTTTCTTCGCTGGACCCAAAAGGATTAGCCAGGTCTGGTGCAACGATGCCATCGCTAGAAAAACAGAACAAAACATCAACATCAGAAGAAAAAAATGGGTCACGTTTTTTTTTTTTTTTTTTTTTGATTTTTTTTTTTTTTTTACAAATGTTTCACACCATCTTAATGCCAAGATACTGAATCTTGACATATTTTACAATTGGATAACTGTCTATCTATCCTAATAACAATTATGTGGGTGAATGTTTGGGGGGATATAGTGTAGTACTGTAGTACAGTCATAATACAGAACGGTAGCATATACAAACACGGCGTTATTGCGGCCTACCTGAGTGTTTTCTGGGCTTGTGGAGCACACAGACCCAGTGAAGGAAGGATGAGCAAGAACAGAAGCCGTGTTGTGATCATATTAACTGCTCCACTGGATCGCTTTGGCACACCTGTCACCACAATCAGTCCAGACGGTCAAAGAAACGACCCATGAATCATTAAAGAAAGCAAAAACGCCCTTTACAGGAATCTATCATTCAAGAATTATATGATACAGCAATTGAATGTAACGTATACTGTTTGAATCAAACACGGATATGAAGAATCTGACTGTTGACCCAACATCTTACACTGCGACAATGAAGTCTGTTCTTCTTTTGCCTTTTTTTAATGCATTGTACTAATAGATGCTAGTATAATAAATGAATGACTAGCAAGGCAAACAGTAAGGATGTAACAGCAATACTAGAAGTGAAATGCGACTGTACCTCTCGCAGCGGCTGTTAGCGGTCGCTCCATGATGAAACCCACCCCGGCTGAATCTGAGGAGAGCAGCACTGCCCCGTGTGTTTGCACCAGTGACGGGCTACACGTGGATTCCGTGGACGTGTCGTGGCCCGGATAAAATCAGCTCCTCCTCGAGCTCTCCGCGTTCCGCCAATCCGCCTTCCTCCGGCTTCCATCGTCGCCACGTAGAGTCGCTGACACTGCATTTACAACGTGCAATTCCTCCGCATGCACCGCCTCTTATGTGCAGATCTTATCCGTTTACTGGGAAGATCCTATTAGCACATGTCCCGTGTTTACTATAGGTAAGTGCTATTTCTTATCGTAGCTTTTCGAGAATAAACACAGTAGGCTACATCAGCAGAATTGGTCTGATTTATTTCTTGCGTTTAAAAGTGTGTATTGCGCAAATGTTTCTTACAGTTCTGCTGCTGATGCCCATGCCCATTACTCCTTTTTTAAAAATCAATGATTGTTTGTTTCTCCGTATATCGCATGATTTCGCATCACACATATTCACACCTATGTGCAGTAGACGCATTACAGTGCAGTCAGACCATCAGACAGCACGTCACGGTCCTTCAGTGAAACCCAGACCGCACGGTCCAAGTTTTGCACAATTTGGCCACAAGATGGCACGCAAATACAATGATACTGTCTCAGTGAAACTCACTCACCGTGACTGATGCATAATAATATGGATATTACTGTAAGAGAGGGATCGTGGTAGGTTTACTGTAAATGAGACACAGAAATGTTTTACACAGTTTGGCCACACGAATGCGTTCCTACCGTTTTAAATGCTGCGACAAAGTAGCCTACTACAATGAAAGCAGTTTCCCCTTTGTTGAAAGTTTAGTTTTTCGCGTTGGTTATCCCCCTATGTCCCCCTAAACTCATTTAATTACTTTATGTAAATTAAATCAAAGGGTGCAGATTAAGTTGTGAATCAGTCTCTAGGCTAACTATGTCAGGCTACCTAGGACGGTCTGACTGCCTATCTATCTATCTATCTATCTATCTATCTATCTGTCTGTCTGTCTGTCTGTCTGTCTGTCCGTCCGTCCGTCCGTCCGTCCGTCCGTCCGTCCATCTATCCATCCCAGACTTCCTTGTCTTTTAGCAAGTATGTTTGAAAGAGTAATCAAACCTGCTGCAGGTTATGGATTTCCTTTCTTTATCAGTTGGACTGGGAAAGCCATGATGTGTGAGTGTCTGAGCCAGCAAAATACAGCATACCTGCCAACTTTTGAGTTTTGCTCGTCGTGAGATTTGTTGACGGGGGGGGGGGGGGGGGGGGGGTTCTCGCTCGCGCAAGGTCTCTCGCTCGCTCTACGCGGTTTGGAGCACAATCTCTGTCTCGCATGCACGCTCGCTCTAGATAACGGGAGATTTTTAACGAATTTGCGGTATAACTAGTCGATCACGAGTGGCTCAACAGGTAGATATATAGATAAACTCATCTTCCAGGCATTTGACCGCCCGGGTTGACACTTCAGCGTGAGAAATCGGGAGTGTGGCGTGTGAGCGTGTGAAACCAATCAAATGCGGGTGTCTCACGGCCAATGCGTGAGAGTTGGCAGCTATGATACAGCAATAGTTTCCTTCAAAGGATCACCTTGGCTTGTGGACACACACACACACACACACACACACCAATCATAAAAGTCCACTTAGAGTTAGTTAATTAATCGATTCACTTGTTGTTGATCAACTCAAAGTGCACAAACCTTAGTTTATAGAAAAAAAATCAATATCTGCCTCCCCGCAGTCAGTCATACTGTAAGGTAAATCTAATGTTCATTGAATATTTCTTCTCATTGGATATCATCTGCCTAGTTCATCATTGATCTCTGTAGTGGATCACGTGTGCTCTGTCTGAAACACATGTAACTCTTTATGTAGCAATAATGCACATATTTCGATCATATCTGCTCCATTTTCAGAATTAACATTAGATAAGGTTGTTTTTTCACAGGTTTGAAAAAAGATAGTTAGTTACATGCATGATTATAAATTGATCAGCTTTCCTCTTATCCATATATGTAAATCTCACAAGTGTGTGTTGTGTGGACGGTGTTTGATTTCCTAACAGCTGTGCCTGTTTCATGCATTTCTTTCGGTACCATCTGTTCTTTCCCACTGGCAGATCAGCCAAAATGCTATTGTGTCTTCACAAACATTACAAACAATTTTATGCTAATCCTGCTAATCCAGTGGTATAGCAACCAAGCTTTCCCTTAGTTATATTCTATTTGTTTATTAACCAACGGCTGTTGTTAGTAGGTCGTTAGGGGCATCAGGTCAAAGGTCAATGCCGACATTGCTGATTTAGTGTCTAGTAAATGTATTTATGCTACACAGCGGCATATCTCAAGAATATATTTTGTCAACAGCTGCAGTACTTTATATAAACAGTAATATGTTTGGAAAAATTTTAAGGATAATCTCATAGTTGAGATTAACCATGAACGCTTGATTTTTTTGTAAAGCCCAATACAGCAAAGTTAATGTGACAAACAATGACACAGTTGCAAAGTGGTCTGAGAAAGGTATCTGTTAGCATTCTCCCTCATCTCAATGACACTTGTGTGGCTGGTGCAGGACACCTGAGCTGTAAATGCCATGTGACTGATCAATCTATGTAAGAAATATAGTAGACAGGGTAAACATGAGTCTATTTTACACCAAGAGCCATCCAAAAACTATTAAAGTGTTACTTTAATATACTGTTATATAATGCTATTTTATTTAAACCAGTGAACCTTGGCACTTGAGTTCAAATAGAAGAGCTTACCCACTGTAACCAACTTAAGTCAGTGTGTAACTGTTTTTAGTTTATTTTGGGCAGTTTTGCTTACTAACTTGAAGTTATAGGAGGTTAGACGTGTTGTTTGAAGATGATCCATGGTGTGCACAAGCTTACAGCAAGATTACAAGCAATTGAAACAGTCCTCAACATGTGCTTAAGTCTTATTTAATTAAAAGCATGTCATCTTTATGCAATATGTTAGTTGATGATACTGAATCAGGCTATAAATAAAAATATTATCTATGCAATATGATACTAAATTAATGACATACAATAAGATATGCAGATATGTTTTTAAAAGCCTGCGCAGAGAGGAGCACTAATGCACTTCGTGTTTCAAAAAGGAAATTAGTGCCAGTGATAAGTAGAGCATGATAAAGATGAGTATATTCTCACTGATCTGACTGGTGTGAACAGCCCTTCTGTATCTGTACACTATGCATGAGCTGCTCTTTTCTAAGCCAGGCAGAAAGTGCTGCTGGGATACCATAGTTTTCTCCCAGTCATGTCACTGTGTAATTGATGTTAACTAGGTTACAGTCGGGATCTTTTACAAAATGTAGTCATCCTGCTGAATAGGCACACGATTTAAAAACACATTGATTGCAGATTAATGCTATGTTTGCAGATGAATGCAGAGTGCTATGTTTAACAACAGTATAATCAATAATCAGGAAGTTTATTATTAGAGGCGGCTATACTATTTTTAGTCACATTGATGAATGATTAGATTATTAGAGATTATAGGTTTTCTCAGTCAACCAGTCTCAACTAAAAGACTAGTACTTTTTACTAGTCTTTTAGTTGATTTTACTGGTTAACATGATACTCAACCAGCACCTAACTAACAACCAGCACCTTTTTTAAAGAAAAAAAAAATACATTTTCAAATCAGCCAAAAAACTAATTCAAAATGAAATAGTATTCAATAAAATTTATGTTTTTATCAATAATAACTTAGATATATATTACAATATATTAACACAATAAATTAATATAACACAATATTAATATTTTATAATAATAACAACAATGAAATAATAATAATAATAAAGTATAAAAGGGAAAAAAGAGGGATTTGCAGGTATATTGCCACAATGGCTTTCCTCATGAAGCCAGTGTGTGAATGTTTTGCTTTCTCACCACCAGACATCACCTTTGGGAAAGTGAGCTGTGTGTGTGTGAGGAAGTGTGTCGCTTGGCTGTCACTCAGACTGTGGATTAACTGACAGCGGAGGTTTGCTGCATCATGGGAAGCTACTGTACAGGCTGTCTGCCTCAATTGGCATCTCCCTTGAGAACCAAACGTTTAACGAACAGATCGACTAGTGGGAACTGCCGGATCTCAGCATTCTCTGGGCTCTCATTAAGGGATCTGCTCATAATAGAGGGAAAAGTAATATTGGATTTTGTGTGTGTGTGTGTGTGTGTTTTATCGATCAAAACTGTATGTGTAAAGGGTTTCTGAATCTGAATAGCTATTGCTGGAGTCAGATGATATGTGACTATTAATAACGTTTGTCAAGTTAAAAGCTACGACATCAGATTGAAAATATCAGGGAAACATCAAATTAAAAAGTAGCAGTTTTTGATGTAGTGCCGCATTGAAAGACCTGGACACTAGAGAACCCCTCGGAGGCGTCCCACCGATGCTGCGTATAGAAATATCCACACTTTAAACTCAAGAGGCTTTTCCCAGTGTGCAGAGGCTTGGCTGGGAAAATCAAACATGTAAAATCTAACATCTTATTAAAATCTTGTAAATAAAAGTTCTCCCAACCTCATGACATGACCCAAGACTGCTCCTTTTTTGTCAGCAAATTCACCATGGTAACAGTTAAAAATAGAGCAGTACAATAGAAGCAGAACAGACCAGTTAACAAAAGGTAGAAGGTAGCCTACAGAGAACAACGTTGTGTCAGAAGCCAGCAATTAAAATGTACTAGGCTACGTAGAATGCTAACTTCCAGAGCCAAAAAAGGAATGTAAATCACAACGAGTCTCCTCTGGCCAAATGGAGATGTATCAATTGAAATAAAATAAAATACTTTATAAATAATATAAAATATTGGGGGTAAAGATGTTATGAACAGTTCTAATTTTACTAGCCTTATTTAAGTGTGCATGTTTAAAAAAAAAAATCCTTTATGGGAACAGCCAGTGTTTATTAAATAATATATTATGACATTTAGGCTACTTCCCATGCTGAATTATAAATGAGAACAAACACATGTTCAGTTTGATATTTAGCAACAAATGTCTCTCAACATTCAGTTGTCATCAAATATTTTCCCTGTTACACAATAGATATGATAATGTTCGAATAAACCAAAAAGTAAAATGATATTATAGATATCAAATTCTCTGTTGAATTTGAGTTCACACAGGTTGTGTTTACAGATATAAAGTCTGGTGTTGTTTTTGTTCGGGATGTCCTCTGCCGATTGACCCTGATGAGACTAGTGGCATAGCAGGAGGATTTAATGAGTGGAAATGTTCTTTCACACTGTGGCTCTTGTTTTCTTTGGATGCTCAGACATGCTTACATAACATCTGCTCATGCTTGAAGTGCACAGTCCTGATTGGCTCTTGATGACGGCAAGATTTACCGTCAGCTTCCGACTGTATCAGCGGCAGAGTTATGGGAGAAGACTGAGAGCATATTAATCACTGTATATGTGGCACAAGTTTACGGTAACATCACTCTTTCCCACAAGGACTCGATCCAAGGGCCTAGTTTCCCACAAAGGCCCGATTTAAAGGTCTTTAATTCAGGAACAATAGAATTTTATAAAAACAATATGGGAAGTTGCAATTCTATTAGACATAAAAAAAACTCAATCTCCTGAAGAATAAGAATATCGGTTTGTTTATTCTGCTTTAAAAGCAAAGCACCGAGATGCAAAACTGTGTAGAAACATCACAAATAATGCTCATAAAAATGCTGTTGAAAAAAAAAAAATACAAAGCTATTAGCATAACAAGAAAGATCCAAGCTTAACAACCATGAAGACAGAGCAAAGGCAAGATAGACATACTGTTACTACAGGTAGAATGGCACTGTTCTTTTGACAATCAGCTGACAAGTGTTAAAATCTAGGCAAGAAGATTGAGAAACTGGAAAATCACAAATATTTTTCACAGTGTTCTTAAACCAGAAAATATCATCACACTGAAATGCATATATCCTGTTTGATTAAACCTCATTTTTACATCGAGAAAGTGTAATGAATTGGATGTTTAGCTGGTGTTGAAATTCTTTCCATTCATACACATCACTGATAACCTCACAATACACTATGAGGAAATGCCACAGGCTACTGTATGTTTCAGTTGATGCCAATGTCAAAAAAATAAAGCTTTTATAATAAAAATAATTTAAATCTTTCTTTTCTCTCAGTCAGTCTACTGTAGGTTGTCTTATGCTGATCTGTCATTCTGGTATATTATCCACTCAGCATTGACACAAAGCCTATGGATTTGACAGAACATTCATGGTCATTCTGTACATTTAGACCTCAAAACAAAACAATAGCAAATGTATGCTATTATTAAAAACATATGAAAAAATAGTTGCTTATGACAAAATAGATTATAACTGAACAGTCTGAAAAGTCATAGCTTTTTTCCCTAAAAACACATTTCTCTTTGGCCATTCCTCTGTTTACTGGTTTCCACAGTCATTACATTTGGCTTTAAATTATATGAGTTTAAACGAAAATTTCTCCCAAAAAACAAAACAAAATTCAAATTCTGTCATTGAATCACCCTCATGCAGTTCCAGACTTTTGTGATTGAATCTTAAACCGATTTACCAAGATCCAACTCAAATTAATGATTTATTCATAAATCACATTAAGATTGTCAGTGAATTTCCAACATTCTTTAAAGTTTCCCCTTTTGAGTTACACTTAAGAAAACCATACAGGTTGGGAACGACATGACGGCGAGTAAATGACGACAGAATTGTCATGTGCAGGCTAAAGGAAAATATAATCCCCAGTTAAATTGCTAGAAATATATTTATACATTGCATTACCACACAACTTTATTCAGCAGTCAACGAATGATTAATGATATGGCCGTATGTCCACTTATGACCAGTTCTATCAGAAAAAATGGTTTTTCCTTACAGAATCATGCTATTGGTGCACATCACATCAAATATTCTACAATAAAACAATGTGAGACGCTTTGACTGCAACACTATTTCGTGTATTTTCGGTCACAATTGCTCTTAAACAGAATGTGAATGTAGATTTTTTAAAAATCAAGATATAAACAACTGGTGAGCCACCAATCACATCTGTGTAAGTATCATAAACGCTCAACCATTCTTGCCTGATACCCTGTAATAGTTTATTAACTATTAAATGCTTACACATGCTGGGTTTGCGATACACATCAAAAAAACAAACAAATTTGTCAGTGTTTGGACAAGATTGGTGGTTCATCCTCTAAAATAACAATACATTTCACATACTGTATCAGAGTAGCAGCTTCTGGGAAGTCTATAAGGCACAAATATGATTAATTGGAAAGTAAAAGCTGTTGTCATGTTCTGCTCAAGAACTCACACTTCATTTTCATTCCACAGGATCATTTCACTGGCACAAGGCATAAAGTCCCCTTCTCATTCCAGTACATTGAAAACTGTGATAAAAGGACATCCATATACATCCAGGAAAGATATAGCTTTGTGATCAAACATAGATGTAGACACAAATGTATCTTCCTGTTCTTCTTCATCAGTGTTTTAGCATTTGAGATGTTCAATGATGGAGATCTCGCCGTGATCGTGGCAGTCCGGGGTAAGACCGTTCAGGTACAGGCTGCCATTTTTGGTCAGGGTCGGGAGAACTTCTTTCTCTAGTTCATCTGTGAAGTTCACGGACAGGGTCCTCCTGCATTGCATCATGTCCTGACCTGGATTTTGTCCCAGCTCCGACGACAGCTTGCGCTTTATGTACGCTGCCCGCTGAAACTTGTCGTAAACTTCCACGCTCAGGCGGCGCCGCGTCTCTTTGAATTCCGCTGACACATTAGCCGTCCATTCTGCAGCGTGAGCGCGGAACTCTCCCACCTGGAACACAAGGAATCGTCAGTGGGGCCAAACGCAGTCAACTGTCATGTGTGTTTAGAAGCATTTAAGAGGTGTAAATCAGAACTTCAAAAAGCTGTTTTCTGTGAGAATGTTTCAGCTCGAGGGAATGAGAGGCATGTCGGCTGACTCAGCCTCAGTGCAGCTGGGAGTGTTAAAGAAAGTAGTTTGGGCCTGGTGCTATAAGACTGTACAACTCAACCACAGTGTGCAGATTTTTAGGATCCCCTCATCCCAATCTATAGCTGTCATTGGGCTTATCATGTGATACTTAAAAACATTTGTGCAAATTTATTCCAGACAGCAACATAGTGTCGGCCCAGATCCAGGCCACATCTGGTGTAACAATAGATTGGCATGTTGTTCAAACTATAATGTAAAAATTTTATTATAGTTTTTGATTACTCTTTCCAATATTCGTGTATTTACTGTAATATATACCATGTATATTGTTATAACAGAAACTAATACTTCTATACATCAAGGAAGCATCAGATTCAGCAAAAAACTGTAAAGACTAAATTCGATGTCAAATAATCTTTCTATTCATCAAAGAATCCTTTTTTTTTTTTTAAATCAAGGTTTCCACAAAAATACTAAGCAGCACAACTCTTTCATACAACAATACAATGTTACTACTACTAAAAATGTTTCTTGAGCAGAAAACCAGCATATTAGAATGATTTCTGAAAGATCAAGTGACACTGAAGACTGGAGCAATGATGCTGTGAATTCAGCTTTGACATAACAGGAATACAGATATAAAATCTTAAATTTAAAATATATTTAAAATAGAAAACATGAATTATTATTTTAAAGGGTAATCATATTTCAATATACAAGAAAACTGATGAATAAATTCCCATTTTCAGCAGCCAATATTCCAGTCTAGTGAATCTACAAGAAAAACCTGTTATATAATATATAAGAAATCATATAATGTGCTGATTTGGTACTTACACAATAATAATCATAATAGTAATACAATTATGGGTTATCACAGTTGAAAATGATTGTGCTGCCTAATAAAGTGTGGAAACAGCAGTACAGTGTTTTTTTCAGTTGCTGAAGTATTTGCAGGTCGCTGTACACTTTCAAGTCAAATATATTGGTTTAAAAAAATGGAAAAACAAAGACATTTTGAAAGTGCTGCACTATAAGTGCTTGAATGCATAAGCTGCCGATTCTGCACACAGACAGAGCGTTTGAATAATAGCATTTTTTAAGAATATAAATAGTCATTGGTTACATTATATACAGTATGTCTTTGTAGGATGCTTTAAATTGATCCAAAAATACTGTAGTGTAACTGTCTGTTAATGCACTCCAAATTTAGGATCAATCAGTTCCTACCTACCAAACCGCTAAAACCTAGTACAGTTACACAAAAATATCAGTGTAAGACTATAGTCTCTAATGTTCACAGCCTTGTGCTTGAGATTCTCCAGGATGCACTATTACCAGAAAGCACCTTAAATATATATTATAACTTACCACTTTAATTTATTCAGGAAGAAATATTTCACTAATAAGCCAAGTCAATGTCAAGACAAATTGCGTGGGTCGCCTCTCAAAATAGAAATTGTAGTAGGAAGAACAGAGTAATAAAAGAGTAACACCACTGAGAAAAAAAATCTGATACAAGTAAACAAGGAACATTTGCTTTCCTCTCTAATGAGGTCATTAGATGGTAAGTTGGTCACAGGACTCTTGAAAAGTTCTAATTTGAGATGATTATTCCTGATGCAGAAGAAAAAGAAAGAAAGAAAGAAAGAAAGAAAGAAAGAAAAAAAAGTGCATGTGTGCTACACAACACCTTTACAGCATTTAAGAAACCCTGACAGGTGATGTATTATGGATGAGAATCAGATAGCAGAACTGGGTCATTCAGACCTTTCATTCACATTAATCCTCCACTGCATTTGCCTTCTCCTCTATTTACAGTAAGATGTGATAATGGACTTCAGTAGAAAACATTTTCAGGTTCAGATTTACAGTTTTCTGCTGCTTCACACATGCAGGGCTGAATAATACTGAGGGCTACATTCTGTGTTTTTTTTTTAGACTTTCCGTACATGTTCTTGTAAAGGACAAATCCCAGCTCCTAAACATAAAACTAAATTATGTCTTTTGTGATTCTATAGAGTATAACGTCAGAAAACGTCAAAAAAGTTAATGAAATCTGAACACAGCGCTGATCTGTGATTGGCCCCCAGACACATTGGAACTTTCTGCTGTGAACTACATAGCAAACAAAGCCACGATAACACACAATTAACTCCTTGACATGACCTTGAAGATTTCATACAGGCCTCATAAAACACAATCATTATAGAAATGCTATACAAGCAATAAAGTCAAATGCCTCTTTCATATTGTGGAGAAATACAGCTCAGTGGACATTAAATCAACTGTACAGAGTTTAGCAGGGTACAGTTGTGATGGAAAACCTTGTGATGTAACTACTTGGAAAATATTAATAAGTACAGTCAAGGGTTGCGTGTCATTCAGCATTTATGTTTGAACTGGGAATGCCCTCATCCACATTTCATTTCTGAATTGGAATTTAGGTTGCAAACAGAATGCATAACTGAAAGAAGTTTCAGCAACACTTTACCTAAAGCCCTTATGTATAATGCATTATAAAGGTACTCGTAATGTACGCTATAATGCATATATCTTTTCATAAGTATATCCTTTCATATTGTAACCAAAGTTAAAGTGCATTATAATATTTGCAGATTCTGAAATTGATTGTTTGCCAAGCGTTTTAATGCATTACACTTTCTAAAGGTGTGTTCAATGATTAAATAAGTATTACAACTGTGGTTACAATTATTCATGAGACTATACAATGCATTATAAAAGGTACATAACAAGACAAAATTACTGCATTTAAAATACTTTACTTAAAGCCTTTATGTATAATGCATTATAAAAGTGTTACTGAAGTTTCTTATGCTTACCAACCAAGGCTGCATTTATTTGATTAAAATATCTTGGTTTGGTGCTCAAGAAATATTTCTTATTATCAATGTTGTAAAAAGATGCTGCTTAAAAGGAGGATTATTTGTTGAATAGATGGTCCAAAAGAACAGCATTTATTTAAAATAGAAGATATTTGTAACATTATAAATGTCTTAAAGAAAATAATACTTGTATTCAAAAGTGACAGTTAAGAAAAACCTTACTGACCCCCAAACATTTGAACAGTAGTTTATTACTAAACATGTTTTCATGCACTCAGCATATGTATTTCCAAAAAAGGTTATAATGTAATAAAAGATTATTAATAACACTGAAATTGATACCATACATGAAAAAAATATTTCTGATGATAAAATGGGTAAATATAGCCATTGTTTTTTAGAAGCCATCAGTTTTAACACCAGTTTAGGCTAAAACGGCAGATTATCAGATTTCTATTTTTTGTTCTCAACTACTATTGTATAATATTATAGTTAATAATTATTTGATTCACATAGTAACATCCACATAGTAAATAATAGTAAAATGACTAGATTAACCAACACTTAGAATCAATATTTTTATGTGATAATGATCCTCCCATACACCATCACTATCAAAAGTATTGATATTTATACTATATGTCCATACTTAAAAGGCTTACATGGTAGAGATTTTAAATACACCATCTGTTCTAGCCCAGACAAATAAAACTCTTCTGCTGTGTGTCTGTGTTGCAATACAGGAAATGTCCTTTCTAATATATATCCCATTTCAACATCCTGTGGTTCTTAACCAATTCCCATTTACACTGGAACTGAGAGGGAACTGAAATTCAGATTTTTGCTCAAAAAGCGTGGAACAGAAGTGCCGCTCTCACCCTGGTGTTGCCTGAAACCATATCAATAAGCACATACCTCCTCTTTGGTTTTCTTGGAGATGACCCGGAGCCAGTCTCCAATCATACTGAGAACTGCAGCGAAGTAGGCAAGACCCACCAGGATCCAGAACCACACCAAGGGCTTATAATAGTCCAGATACTCAATCTCAGAGCCTCCTGAATGAGATAAATTAACCCACATCAACCCACCCAACTCATGAATACACTCGACTACTTCAGTTTGAGTTGTTTTTCAGGGTATTTGTTTGCTGTCAGAAACTAACACAAAGTACTTGAAATTGAGAATGAATGAGCAAAGTAGTGACTTCATTCACCTGCCACAAAGTCTCCAAATCCAATAGTGGTTAAAGTGATGACGACAAAGTAGATGGCCTCCAGAGCGCTCCAGCCTTCAATGTGTTGGAAGATGAGAGCGGGGAGGGCCACAAACAGCAGGCACCCAAACAGGATGAACAGGACTGTGGATGTCACACGGATTTTAGTTTGGCTCACGTTCCATTTCTGTAAGGGAAAACAGATGCGAAGGGAGGTTGAGAATGACGGGTGGAAAAGACAATTAAGCTCATTATAATCGCTGTTGAGAGACGTCCACAGTACTTAACCAGAAACCGTCTGAAAACATTCATTCTTATCCAATGTCTGGCATCTAGTATACACTGTCACACATAAGACATAGAGATGCACACTACCATTCAAAAGCTTGGGATCAGTAAGATTTTAGTAAGATCGGTAAGACCAAGGATGCAATTTTTTAATCATCATTCTCTTTAGTGTCACATGATCCTTCAGAAATCATTCTAATATGCTGATTTGGTACTTAATATCAATGATCAGTTGCTTAATATTAAAATATAAAATGTGTAACAATGTAAATGTTTTACCATTACTTTTGATCAATTTAATGCATCCTTGTTAAAGCTGCAGTCCGTAGCTTTTCCTCTTTGTCGCCATCTCTCTGTTCGAAATCTGTAACTGCAGTGATTCGCGGAATTATCATCTTTACGTGGGTTGTAAATCGGCATGAAACAGCGCGGATGAACACAGTGCTTTGAGGCGAGTGGTGCTGTCAGTCACCGCGCTGTGTGGATACTGTCATACAGAATCACAGATTCACTTTTTGAAAGTTTGACCAACATAAGAATTTTCATAAGAAAATGTCTTCTGAACAAGTAAGTAAAATCCATTTTTGTTCTGACCAACTAAGGGGGAAAAAGCATTCGACATGATAAGCTTCGTTAGATTTAATCAACCGTGCAAATTATAGCCTACTTTGTTCTCAAATTGTTCATGTTAACAACATCAGCATTGCGTGACTAATGTTAAATTTAATGTGTTTTATGGTTACCTGCGTAGTTCAGAATTCATATTCTCCATAATAGCAAAACGAGAAAGGCACAACAAAGGAAACTCCATAACTGTGTGAATTAAGAAAACGTACTGTTACACGATTGAACTATTGAAATGTCTTACTTGTTCAGCAGAAAAAAGCCGTCTCTTCTTCCGTTTTGAACCCCTTCAAAACACGGAGTTCACACACTTTTCAAAAGCCCCGCCGATGTTTAAATCCTTGTGTTCGCATGAGACGGTTTCTTTCTCTTTCTCTAGCCACCTTAAATCCGAAGTACGAAGTCTTTTGGGTTTTATAACTGCTGAATCTCCAGTTGACACTGATGATTGTTGTTTGGATTTTTCTGGATGCCATAAGTTTAATCATGTAAAGTGCTGCGAGAAAAGCCTATACATCTAAACATCTCGTCACGCGCAGTATAGCCGGCTAGCCGAAACTCCTTCTTTATGTGTACGGGTGTGACGTAATGACGCAAAGACATGCTCGAATTTCCCGCGGAAACCCACCAGTACCACTGGAATTAAAATCATTATTACAGGCTAACCGTTTTGAATCTAGCTATGGCAAGCAGATAGTTTTGACCACTGGCAGAATATGTTTTTTTTTATATAATTATTTTGGATTATTTTTGACTTAAAAAAGTTACGGACAGCAGCTTAAAAAAACTATTCATTTCTTAAAAAAAAAAAAAAACGTACAAACCCCAAACTTTTGAACGGTAGTGTACATACAAAGAAAATAAAGTAAATTAATAAATAAAAATCACAAACAAATAGATTTCAAATTTAGTGAAAAATTTATGAAAATAATAAATCAACTTCTAATGACATTTTACACTGTTATCTGTCATTTGATACATCCCACACTCATGGAAAACCTGGAAATATCGGGCAATTTTAAAATGTAATCCAATCTTAAAAGAAATTATTGTGATTATACATTTTTAGAATTGTTCAGCTATAAAATAGTTCATCTACATAATTTATCTTGTGTAATGTCATAATGGTGTCTATTTTCTGATAAAAAAAAAAAAGAGTGCAGTTGAATCATATTTGAATTAAATTAACATTTTTGTTTTACACATTTACTCAATTTCTAAACATTTTTGTGTGAATTAAGTGCTATTAATACTTATATCAGGCTTTATTAATAGACTACATTAATATACATTAATTAGCCAAGCATGTACAGTTATTGCCCAATGTTGATAATCTCAAGCCAAATATACTGTAGGATGAATGATCGGCCTGGCTGAAATACTGGCCAATCACTAGTTTAAAGACCCCCTCAAAATGAGAGCTTTATGGCCTTCAGTCAATTTGTGTTAGCTTCGAGTACACCTAGATGGTAGGGTACTACAAAATGTAGATTTTTTTTTTAGTAGATATAAACATTTAAAATGTGCAAAAATAAGAACAGGACCAAAATATAGATCATAAAGAATGGATGAAGGAAACTGATGACTCGTGCTGCACTAAACCGAGTGTTGTCCAATCAAACGCTGCAACCAACCAGCATCATGAATGATGATTCTTGATGTAACTCAAGGCTATACAATGTGGAAATATGTCATCACAGGACAGAAAGCTGCACTCGACAAGCAAATTCATTGAGTAGAGTTTGTGAAATAAACACTTGCCCTTACAATTTTTTTTTTCTTTTCTTTCAGCCATTGTGTTTATTATGTGGTACACAAAAGAATGAGTGCACCAGCAATAAATAATTCACTATGCTGTATTGATTTCTGACAAAAAATAAAATACTTCATTGTACGTGTCAATGTTCCAAATTGTTCCTGTGCCAAAACACAACAGCTCAGCAGAAAAGAATGTTGGTGTATGTGCAACGAGTGTAAACAAGATGGCCACCAGAGGCACTTCAGTTATTACAGCGAATCATTAAAGTGGCCGAATGTTCTGCAGCACCAAACAAGGCTATTAAGCAAGCATTTCTACAAAACAATCATTATTTTATAGCTGCAGGGGATTTATTGAGCGAAGACGATACAGTGCATTTCTGATTGAAGGGATTTGATGTGCACAGCCTTTTATTTCTAAATTAATTATATAATAATATTGTTTAGATGTAATCTTTTGACTTGCCATGGTGGTTATTACACATTAAGTTTTTATAAATATTTCACAGAATTGGTCTAATCTGTTGTTTTAACTTGAATAGCTATTTACATCGTTCAGGTCAAAAAATAAAAAAAATCCCTGAAAATGTTTTTCATTCATTCCGTAAAAAGAAAAAACAGTTCTGGAAACAAGTTAGTATAGATGTATGATTCTAGAAACTGCTGCACAAGTAAAAGGATTATAACTCTAGATTATAAAGTGCATTAATGGTATAAATCCTGTGAGCAATTTTGCTAGTTTTGGGTACATGATTTTAGCTTAATTTAATCTCACCACAAACATCTTTTCCACTTTGGCGATTCCTTTGCCAAATATTGTTCCAAGCTGATCGCCCACTCCTGCCAAGAGGAACCCAAAGAGTGGAATCCCCAGCAGTGCGTAGATAATGCAAAAGATCCTTCCTCCTTTTGTGTGTGGAGAGACATTTCCAAACCCTGCAGAAAGAGAAGTCCCAGACATTATGTGTAGGAATGATCTGCAAAAACATACAGGTCCCAGCTAACAAGGAATGTTCTCAGAAATTTGGTTAACGTTCTAGTAAGGTTCTCTCAAAGTTATGAACAAACGTTCTTCCAGTAACATTAATAGAATTTTTGTTCAAAGTTATCTGGTCTATAATAATGCTCTCAAACCATTAGCACCAAAATTGTATTTATACATCTTTCATGAAACGTTTTTAGTTGGATGTTATGGTCTAATGTCTTTTAAAATGTTACTCGCTACTTTTTCAGATAATTCAGAGAACATTCAAAGGTAACGTTCCAATAATACTTGCAAATTGATCAAATAGAAAATACATTACCTTAACGTTCACCAAGAATCAAGAAAAAAAAAAACATTTTTAAAACATTTTTAAAAACCACCCATTTTTAACGTTGAAAGAACATTCAGAAACAACGGTTTCATAACTTAATGGGAATGTTCACAAAATGTTCTTAGAATTCATTTTTGTTAGCTGTGGTATTACTGTGCTTCCTGAAACATTATTTAGTTGTTTTCTAAAGCTTGTAAGGTATTTTGTTGACCATTGTCTTGAGTCAAACCAATAATTTAGAAAATTGAGAGGGCCTGCAAATCTTCTACCCTCTTAAAAACAGACGTTATAGGTATCAAGAGAGCTACCTTAAGAGTCAGAAGCTTCACTGAGGCCGTCTCTAAAGGTTCCTCCTGACAACTCTTCTAAAACAATAGAGATCCCATGAAGGAACCGGTGATCTGCAGACAGACATGAGCCTTCTGACACCTCGTAGGATGCGGATAAAACCAAGACATGCGTGTCTTACTGAAGCCCCTTCAATGTGAATGTGGCAAGCCGAAATAGCAGCAACACACCATCGTGGTAGCAGTGGTTAGTCCTGCTGAGAGATGCTCTTGAAGGAACTCCAGTACTGAACCAACCAGGCAGTTAACTGGGTTAAGGCCCTTGCACACTGAGTCCGAAACTCTCGTATGCGTTTTTTCGTATTCGTGATTCGGTGGCTCTGAATTGTCAAAACACTATTCAAACACCATTCAAACTGCTTGCTACGGATGCGAAAAACGCAGAAAATCAAACCCGATACGTTTTTTTTTATGACGGACGAAAGTTTCGGAGGCAGTGTGCAAGCGTGATTGACATAACCTGAGGTCGTATTTATTTTTTAATGTGTGAAAATTTCGGGCGCGAATTTCGGACTCAGTGTGCAAGGGCCTTTAAGATGATGCGGTTCACACCATGATTTAAATAGACCTCATTCGAGAGACTATAAGCTGGTAACCCTCGGGGGGCCAGGAGCAGAGCTTTCTCGCTGAAAAGCGCTTGCAGTGAGAACAGTCAGCTCCCTCAAGAGCTGACCTAACATGCTCTAATCCCATGCACTGCACACAACACAAAATTATTACCTATCACCCTCAGAAATATATATCGGACATGGCAGAACAAATATCCAACACTTATTCTTTGTTTTAAGTCAAACCCCTGCTCTAAAACACAGACACTGTGACAAACTATACAGACAAGCGACTTCTAACGACAAAGAAGCTGGTGATGCCGTGTCAGGCGCCATTTTATAGACACTTCACGTACTGCGTAGCGTCACCTGACTTCGTACATGGGCAATGACATTGGTGCGTGTACACATGATTCAGACTCCGGTCACGCTGACAACATTCCCATAGCATCCACACAATAACGCAGCATCGAAGTTCGCTCAAAAGGGAACCGATTCGATTATTTTTTTCACCTATTAAGCCCTGGTTCAAACCAAATCTAACAAATCCCTTGGTTACAAGCCAGATTATGATTTTGCTCTAGGAGTATGAAGGGAAAGTAACATTTAGGAAATTTCCTTTTAAGCCTGAAATGCATTACATTATGCATTCACAAAGACATACAAAAACAAACAAGCTTTGAACAAAAAATTATTAAAACTAAATGTATTATTTTTTTCAAGAAAGTTTGACTCATTTTGTATATTAAAATGTGAGAATACAGCAAGAATACCAGTGGTTGCGGTGTGTGTAATACTACCACAATAGGAATTTAAGCAATTACAAGAGCAAAAGGCTAAGCCACTGGACAGGCCCACCCTGAGTGAAGCACAGCAGTAGGGGGGCATTTCCGCCTCCATCCAATTACATTTCCTTTTTCCTTGAAACTCATTAACTGGGCAATCACTCCTCATGCACTCTATCGTCTTTTAAATCTAATTAAATCAAAAAACCTTGAAAGAGACATAAAATGGTTTCCAACGAGACAACCTTAATTAGACACGGCACAATGGAGACGAATAACTGTAATGTCTTTACACATAGCCTTTTGGAAGAATTATGCACATGTTCATGGTTGGATAATATCATGCTTGATTCCAGCAGATTAACTATAAGGATTTAAGTATATAAAAATGTATAATGCGTGTTAATGGCTTCAGCATTTCTATTGTCTCTTTATACAAAAAATACTGTGGCCAGACACTTCATTGTTCAGATAGATAACATCATATTTCCTGACCTTAAATAGAAACAAACAACGAGTAATTAATTTGTCATAGACCTAAAGAAGAATGACTTCGATGCAAACAAATCTTCAGATGTAAAAAAAACATGAGCCACAGGATTTGATGCAGTGGTATGTCCGCGCATGTGTCTTGATCAATGAAAGAGAAATCGATGATGAAAACAGAACCTTCATAGAATAAAAATGGAATATGCTCCATTTCTCTTTGCTTAACCAATATATCTTGTTTGTCTGCCACATGCAAACAGTCGGACTTTGTTTTGTTCAACATTCTCAACCCTGAACATCGACTCAAGTCTGTATTCACACCAGTAGTCACAAAGTCTTACATTTGTTGATCACTTGTTGAATTTGTAAACAATAGCTTTAAAAATTAAATAAAAACACAATGATAATGTTTAACCGAAACATGTTACTTTAGGGCATCAAGTCATATTTGTTCTCCAGGTAGTCCTTTTGAAGAATGTATGGACTGTACAATTTTTTACTGGATACCTACGACTATTTTAACACCTCAAATTTTCATCTGAATAATAATTATTATGATAACAATGAAAATAAAAAGTACCTAAAAGTTCAAATGTTTTGTACAAATGTACACAAAAAGTAGCTGTAGTCCCAGTATTGAAAAGCACCATAAACACATTCATGAGTCATAACACCTAAATTACTGAAATTATGTGTTGAAAAAGCAGGGTAATATCTGTTCTCGAATCTGATGAGAAATGAATGTCATGTGCTGTCTTAGAGCACAACACAAGTCAGTTTGACACAGGGAACAAAACAATGTCGTGCCACCCTCATTAGAGAAGAAGCACTACTTACTGGCAGACTGACGCAAAAAGAGCTTAATGAGCACACAAGTGTGTCTTTTGAGGGCTTCAGCTTTGGCAAATACTCTGGACACATGTGCTGATGCCTGTTAGTGAATGTGATGCCCTCACCAACAGATGAACGCACAAGGACACTACAAAGTGAGTGCATCCTTGCTGGTGGAGGTGGTCGGGGGAGTTGACAGGTTTTCGTTCAAATGTCAAAAAAATTATTATTATTTGGTCACCTATTGGTAAACAAATTAGCAGTTGGAGCTTTAAAGGCCAAGCCTATAAATTGACTCCCTTGGGTGACACAAATACATTATGGATGATGTTGATTCATGCAAAATAATACAACAACATTAATAAAATAACTCCAAGCAACCTGTTTTTAACAAAAATGTTAAAACAATCAAATCTAAGAACATTTATTTTGTCCTCACGCGCACACACACAACTTTTAAACTGTGTGTATATATATATATTCAGATAATATATATATATATATATGCTCATGAAGGCTGCATTTATTTTACCATAAAAATGGTCAAATAATATATTTTATCAATTATTCCTGATGGCAAAGCTGAAATTTCAGCAGTCATTACTCCAGTCTTCCGTGTCACATAATCCTTCAGAAATCATTCTAATTTGCTGATTTACTACTCAAGAAACATTTCTTATTATCAATGTTGAAAACGGCTGTGCTGCTAAATATTTTTGTGGAAACATGACATTTTTTCAGGATTCTTTGATGAATAGACAGCGTTTTTTTTAAATAGAATTATTTTGTAACATTATGTATGTCTTTACTGTCACTTTTATTAAATTTAATGCATCTTTGCTGAATAAAAGCATAAATTTCATTAAACAAAAATGTTTAGGGCCCCTACATTTTTTAACATGTACATAAAACATGGAGATGTGATGTGCAGCCCCAAGAACTTGCTTTTATACAGTTGAAAGAGGCCAAGTTATCAGACCAGCTCGGTTCATTAATTTCAATTTGTACTTCGCAACCTAAGTAGGGACACTGGGGGGGATTGATGAAGGGGGCTTGCTCTTTAATTCACTACTTGGCTCCGTTCCAGCAGGTTTCAAAGATGTCTTACACATGTATTCAAGAACAGTCAAAGCTGCTGAAAGGATTAGTTAAGGTTCATTAATCAAGCTTATTAAATAACATTAATGCAATTTCCTTCACATCCTTAGCGAAGAAGTCAAAATGAAAAATGCAGCTGCTGATTATTTGCTAAGAAATGAATCCATAAAATGCTGAGTGTTCAGATCATATGTAAATATCCTTGATTTCCCTTGATATTTTAATTGCAATTTACCGTAAATATTTTAATTAATAGAATTTACATTAAAATTTTAGTCGTTAATGCGATGTTCACGTTTAGTTTCCTTTTCGTTTTCATGGACTTTTGGATGTTCTTGTTCTGGTTTTCATCTAGCTTGATTTTTCCTTGCCGAAAACCTCCGCTAGGTCCTGGTATTTTTAGGGGATATGGACAGTTTTCTGAGGTTTGGGGCTTTTCACACGGGTAGTCAGACATGGGACCTGGATGGTGGGGTTCAAGACAGAAGTTTGACCATTGGATGAGTTCCCCTTGCCTCCATGAGATCTGTGGGTCATGTACTGACAGCCAAGGATGCCCCAAGAGGATGGGATGCAATGGTGAGGAGATGACAAACAGGATAAGTTCCTCAGTATGAAAAGTCAAATTTGGAGCTTAATCAGGAGTGATTTTTCCCTCCCAAAGGGTTTATTGTCAACTACCGTGATATGGTGGAAAGCATTGCACAGTAGGGAGTTGGAATTTATGGAACAGTTGCTGATATATCAAATTTACTGCAGGTCCAGAATCCACTAGGGCTGTAACACAACGGGTCTGATTAGTGTTAAATATTTTTACTGGTAGTGAGAAATTGAGGAAACGTGAGGTCAGGCTCGCTTTGGTTGTTCCACCCTTGCCTTTAATGGGCAGGAGACACACTGATGACCAGATTATCCACAGTAGAAACATACTGTAGATCAGGGGTGTCCAATCCTGCTCCTGCCGATCAACTGTCCTGCACAGTTCATCTCCAACCCTAATCAAACACACCTGCCTTTAATTTTCAAGTGATCCTGAAGACCTTAATTGGTTGCTTCAGGTGTGTTTGATTAGGGTTGGAGATGAACTGTGCAGGATAGTCGTGCCCTGTCCCAAATGGCACACTCCGGACTTGTGGACTTCCTCAGAGTCCACACTTCGGTGACGTCATGTAGTGCAGACCTATAGGGCCCTTAGCGCGAGTCCGCGAGGGCGCATTGAGAGGTATTTTTGGGACAGACTCGATCGTCACGCCGGAAACAGGAAGACGGTCTGATTGTTGTTATGGACAGGAGCTACAGGTTCGGGGAAATATGTTGCCTATTGTTGTTGTGTTTACATATGACTCAGTAAAGCCCTGACATTCTGTTCTATTTATTTAATGAATCATAATGCGATCGGAATTATTCAGCTCGCTATTATTAGCCTATGTTTGAGACATCAACCACTGGTTGATGATCATAATGTTTGTATAAACTTGTCATAAAAACCGTAATGATAATTACACTTAAATATTTTCTTCTCAGCCATGTTAACAATTGTCCGTGAGCGAAATCTCCTCCCATCCGTTGTCTGATTGGCCTTTCGCAAGGATTCCTGGGTAGTTAAAGTGCGTGGAGCCTGCATCTATCCGGGCTTCGCGGAAGACCGCTTCAAGGGTACAAAGGGGGCGCTGCTGAGCGTTAAAATGCTAAATAGGACGGCCTACGGACTCATAGACTCGGCGAGCACGCGCAATTTAAGTCCACGAGACCGAAAGTCCGCATGAAGTGCGCCATTTGGGACAGGGCCTCGATCGGCAGGAGCAGGATTGGGCACCCCTGCTGTAGATGGTTAAGTCATTGGCGCTGGCGTTCTTCACCTAATTTGCATAGGTTCGGGAGATTCATGGGAAACATGACTGGATAGCTCAGTGGTGGGTTCAAATTAAACTGTCAAGCTTGATTGCCAGATAATTGTATTGTGAAAGAATTAAGGATTCGTCTTTACATGCCAGTTCCCATTGTAGAACGGGATTTAATCCCTCACGGAAAACTGTTTTTAAAGCCACGCCGTTCCATCTGCTCTGTGGTGCTAATGTGCGGAATATAGTGGCATATTCAGCAGCGGTGGATTGGCCCTGGCGTAGGTGTAATAATTGGAATGAAACAGCTTTCCCTCCGGGTGGATATTCAAACACATTTTTAGCACAAAATATGTGAATGAACTATACGGATCTGTAAATCATTGTCCCAGACAGCAGACGCCCACTCTAGCGCTTTGCCTATGAGAAGTGACATGACGAAAGCACACTTGTTTGACTATGGTATGCATCAGGTTGATGTGAAAAGAGATGAGCATTGATGTAAAAAAACCAGACATTTAGACCCATCAAACTTATTAGTTAAAGCCAGCCTTACCGGTTCAGTTCTGGTTGACAGTAGAGCTTGAATATACTGAGTTAGATGTTCATTAGTAGCCCATAGTGCAATTAGCTGTTCCTGGTAGCCCTTTAGCATCTCGCTCTGATAAGCAAAAGCCACTGGTGGCTGTGAAACTCCTGCTGGATTCATGTCCAGCGAAGTATTCTGTAATGGATCCACTACTGGAGGCGTTTTAGAATCCATTTGCTGGAGTTTATTAAACAAATCAACAAGTCCAGAGCATACAAACCAGTATGTGTAAGTAGGCAGTCCAACAGCAAACAAATCCAAAAGAGGTAATCCAGAGAACATTGAAAGGGTCATGCTCAAGAGACAAGATAGCAGTAACACTTGGTATGCAGGTGAACTGGCAGTACTTCTCAAAGATGGCTACTGAGAGCATGGTTTAAATCAGAAATTGGGAGATATGAGGGTCCGTGGCTCTACCATTGGAAAAAGAGTAACGGCTAACTTGGATCACATGTGCCTTGATTCACAGCTCAATCACTGTTTGCGGATACCATAGAAATGAATTATAAGTGCCGTAAACTGAATCATGCCTGTCACGCCTGTCCGTGACTTCTATTTTTAGAGTTTGCACTGAAAATAATTTGCTGTTTAATAAGAGATCAATACAAACGAATGTTAACCTTAAGAGCAAACATGTTGAAGATTAGACGATGAGTTGATTCATTAAATGATTTCCTCACAAAAGCAGTTTATTCAGAATAGTGAAGCCACTCCTCCATTGAAATTGATTTTTTTTTTTTAACGGCCACTTGTAGCAGGCATTACGCTTTTTTCGGCTAAGGTTGCAGGTTTGCCTTCAAGTGTGAACTAGTGACAAAGGAAGTGGAACTAGAATTCTGGTGATGGCTCCCTCTGGTGGAGGGATGAATGATCCATGGACGAAGACGCAACAGCATCACAGTCTCAGCGACAGCACAGATGTTCTTTAATTATAAAAAAAAATTCTTGAGCACCAAATCAGCATATTAGAATGATTTCTGAAGGATCATGTAACACTGAAGACTGGAGTAATGGCTGCTGACAATGTAGCTATGCCATCACAGCAATAAATTACATTGGTTTGAAATAGAAAACAGTAATATTGTTAAATATTACAATTTAAAATAACTTTTTTTTTTTTTTTTTAAATCATACCGACCCACACATCCAATAGAAGCTGACAGCCTCACAGGACCACACCTAGAGGTAAAGCTGTAACTGACACATTTCACAATTAATCAATTGCAAAAAATATTCATCAATTGTGCAGCCCTACTGGTGGTCTATTTATTTGACTTTTGTCCCTGAGTTAAACTCGTTTTTACCAAGCACCTTTCCCCAAGTTGCTTTCATCACCTAAATGAAGTGATAATGAAATTCAAAAAGTCACTAATCAATTAAAGAATCAATAAGGGGATTGATACTGAGTACAGCTGTTACCTATAGTGGTGATGACAGTCCCTGCAAAGAAGAAGGAGCTGCTGAGGTCCCACATGCTGCTGTCATTGGAGGGGTGACCCGAGGGATTGACCCCGGCCCGGATAGCAACCACCACTTGCTGCGAATGAGAGAACAGGTCTCAGGAATAATCTCCAAAAATATAACGAATCATTTAAAGCTCAAACCAAAAACGAGAGCAATAAACACGGAGCAAACACTTGATAAAAACAAACTTTCTCCAAAAATGAAAAGTCATAATTAACTCCCATCTCATGTCATACCTGTATTTTCTTTCTTTGTGAAACACAAAAGTGGATACTCTGCCATCCACAAAAGAAAGAAAATATTACAGGGTCAGAATGACATGAAGGTTGAAAAAATTATGGCAAATCTTCATTAGGAAAAGTATTACATGAATATACAGGACATGTTATTTAGAAAAAGAGTGCTATATTTCCAATTTACCCATTTTGAATCATATTCAGCCATGCTATTTCCAGTATAACCCCATCTGCTATTGTGCAGAGAGATGTAACACGTTTAAATCGGAAGCAGACTGTCTCTGAATGAGCAGGATGGCTGGCTCCAATTGCCTACATTCAGGCCCTCAAACAAAGACACGGATCTGTTCTTTATCAGTGTTCCACAGCATCTCTGGATTTTACGTCACACATTACAGTGTCAGCTGGGAGTTAAGACAGAATTTGTCCTGTAACTAATTTCATTCACTGTCAAATCTGGTATAGTATGGCTGCCTTATCAAATGTATGGCCCCTTGTTTGTGCAGCAGGAATGATATTATACTTGTACTGTTTTTCAGACTGTGCCTCTTCTTCTAAAGAAGGGATCTTGGCATAATTGAGATATTGACAATATTTTTGCTTCTCTGATCAGTGTGTTCCTTGAAGACCTAAAGTCACTTACTACAAGCTTGGACTGATTCCAAACTTAGGGAATGTGTAGTTCTTTAAAGAGCTGTTCTTATCCTTTTAACACTATAAGTTAAAAAGCACTTAAAAGGACACATTACTCAAAGAGTGAGTGGAAGGTCAAAGCTTTGCTGAAGTTTTTCTGTTCTCATTTCATATGTATGCAAACTTCAGAAACTGAAGTAAGTGAAGGGCAAAAGGTGGAGCTGTCCGTGGTCCTTAACTCATATCTCTTTCAGCATTTCTCTCATTACATGTACATGAGGCAAGAACGTAGTATGGCCATCTCTTGTCTTATCGCAACTGCGAGATAAGGTGAAAAAAGTTGCAAGTACAAGATGTAATGTCCAAATAATGAACAATTGGATTGCAATTTTTTTTTAAAGTTGAGATTACAAGATGTTCAAATCTTGTTGATGTCCAAATAATGGAAAATTGCATTTGCAAAAATACAATAAAAAATAAGTTGAAAATATAAAATGTAATTTTTCAAAAACAAATGGAAATTGAATTTAATAAGGTGGCAGTTATGATATATAAATATAATAATGGAAAACTGCATTGCAAAGATGAAAAATAAAGTTATAAAAATAAAGCAATAAACTGAGTAATTCCAATAGGGTCCTCTCATCATCGGTGCTATAGGGCCCTAATTACTGGTATACAATGTAATGTCGACAAAAAAAAAAGACAAATAATGTCAAATAAAAAGAAATGGTTCAAAAAATAGAGGTGCAAATAATGCCACAATAACAAAGAAAAGCATTTCAAACGTTAAACTTTAATGGGCTGCTCACACAGAATGCATTTTTCCACTGTTCTACTTTTCCATTGTTTTTCAATGTAAAGGCACTAGACAGATATTTTTAACTGATGCACTCGCATCTTGAGCAGCGTCTTGTTCTAAAAATGCGGTCCTCAAGTTAAAATAAGTTCAACTTAAAAGTTTTTTTAAAAAAGGTGTCTCTAGAACCTCCCCAAACAGTGATGAAGATGGGACAAAAAAGACCCATAATTTCGCATTTCTTCATTTATGTCACATCGGCCCAATATTTACTGCAAAATATTCAAGCACTAAGTATCTATCTCTTTTTTAATTCTGCAGTGGCTTGTATCAGGTGTTGGGCCACCAGGGCCTCTGAGATAAACTCTGGCCACAGTGGCTCAAAGTCCAGAGAACTGTAGCAAAAAAAAACTGGGCATGTTTTCACTAAGCAGTGAGTGAGCAATGTAAACACTGTCAAAAACACATTGTGCAGGTTCTCCTGGCCTAAATAAAGCTGGAGTCACTCAGTGTATCCCAGCTGCTCATCCATGCCTCCTCCTCCCAGCTGGCTGCAGAAGAGCTCAGGCAAAAGTGAGAGGCCATTCTTTCCATGGGGAGGCTTTCCTGTTTGTGAACACAAACTAAGTGCCGCTACAATCACTACTGGGTTTGGGCTCTTGGCAGCAAAGCAACTTGGCAGGAACCAACATTTGTTCAGAGGTGTGTGGATGTGAGCGTCAGAACAATAATCAAGAGATGGGAAGTAGATGAATGCATGGTGTTGGGATGTAATTTATCGTAAAAGGTAAGGGGGAGGGGTACGAGTTGTCTCCTGGGGTTAGTAAATGTAGATTTATAGCCTGTCAGAGAACTACAGGAATATTTATAGGTAGGATGTTACTTTAACGCATCACAGCGCACAACGACCTAACCGCACTAAAAGTATGGAAATCAAACGTAGAACTATTGCTCAAATTCTTTAAATGATTATTAAAATATTGCAAAAACAAAAGCAGCACTCCCATCCCATGTGTTTACAACTTTATGCACATTTACAGTAAAAAAAAAAAAACTTTTTGGTGTTTTGTCCTGGATTTAAGCAATATCCTAAGATTTACATAAGACTTTGTGGATGAAAACCCAGCTAATGACACACAGGCATCCAGGACCTTTACACTGCTGCTAGAATTGCAGTAAATCTCTGAATAGAAAGTGACATTTTATAAGTGCAATCTACTTTTGCACAAAGGTAATAGACTCAGAAGGCACATAGTGATGCAATGTCAAGAGCAGATTTAATTTCACAACAGGTGAAATAATGTTAACTGAACTCCCTAAAACCAATTTAAAAGAAATTACTGGCAAACACACAACTTTTAGGAGAGCAGATAAAGCATACAGTTATTAGCCATAAGAACATTTCATAAATACATTCAAGACAGAACAGATTGTTCAGCATGTTTATCATTTCAGCAAAGCAATCTTTTCCATCCCTCTTATTTCTAAGAAATATGGTTGCATCACACTTCAGAAACAGACCAACATGTCTTCGGCTTAGTGTTTTCAGTGTCTTCAATTAATCAGATGGCACACTGTTTCTGCCAACTTCAGAGCTGTCTGTATTGATTTTTGGCAAAGATTAGTCTATTCACCCAAAGTACCACACACAAAACCACTATGCTTTGAATCAACATTTAAAAGGCTGTTTTTACCTATACAAATAAATATTTTGAATTCAAATTTCAAGCACACAGGTAAATGATTTTGTACCTTGACCAGGTCCTCCAGCTCAGAGGTGTTGACACAGGCATGTCTAGAGAGAAAGATCATTTTCTCCTGCAGGATGAGGTACTTCTGAGAGATCTCCTGGGGCTGTTCCAGAGCTTTGAACACCGTGGCTCCGATGATCAGGTACAGGACCACCAGCAGGAAGATCGCCAATACTGTTTTCCACTTCATTACGGTGGTTATGGTATCACAATCATCACCCGAGTTATACACAATGGGCTTGGAGGAGAACGACAGCCGTGGTTTGGTGTTGTGTGTGGCTGATTTAGGATCTAAAAGATCAGGTGCAGCCACTGGGGGGAACAAAGGGAGAGAGGAGGTAAGAGAGAGCAAATGAGGAGAGAGAGAGCGAGAGAGAGGTTATAAAAGCCAGCAGTAATTCAAAAAACTGCTGATGAGGCTTTAGTAATTTTGTATTACAGTTTAAAGAATCATGCTTGATGTATAGATTTCTAAATTTATTTTTTCATGCGTCTTTGTACATGAACGAAAACACATTCATGTTTTTTACATGGAGCCATCAATAAATAATAGTCGCTATGAAAGGCACAGACAGCTGCAGGGTTTTAAAACAGTGATGAGTTCGATTTAGATTATGGACATAGATTTGATGGTTTTAGAGTTTAATAGATTTTATTCTGAATCTAAAGCATTTTAAATTCTGTTCCTTGGGAACATGGTGTTTTATGATAGGGTTATAATAACAGTGTTGAAACATTTGACTGCTTATTTCTTAATACAAGCATTTACAATTTACTTTAGATTTTCATAAGAGCATCATCGCAGAAATAGAAAAAAAAATATGTAAACAATTTTCTGAGTAAATATCACAATAAATTACAAAGAAATGGCAAGTAACACTGAATTAAACAAAAAAAAAAAAATCATTTTCAGGGTTGTAAAAAAAATTAGCGTAGGAGTGAATCTGGCCCTTCATCTGTGAGAATATTAATTTGGTTCTTTCTCAGCTGACTTCTGCAGTGTTCCAGCCAAGTGTGAAAACCCTCTCTAGCAAACCAGTGATAGTGGACGTAATGTTCTCCTCACTAGTGTCCAGTATGCAGCGTGTGGAACTACGTTATGCAAGACAGCACAAGTTTCAGCATTAATTTAGAGCTGTGCATAATACAGACCTCAATGCTTATTAAAGATCTAGTTACTGAAGCCCCAGAGGGTTCCAGCAATGCATGTGTCCACTTATGTGGATGTGAAACTTTAACCCATGCAGATCCATTCAAATCACTTCTCTTTGGTGTTTTTAAATATTTTTATTTGATTATTCTAACAGGACTCTAACTGCCAAACTTAAAAGTATATCAATAATATTTTGACTTTTACATTAAAGCTAAAGTTGATATGAGCAAGACAAGTCATTAGATCACATTATATAATTTTTTGATGTAATGAAGCAAGCAGAAGAGGCACACTGCAAAATGTGATTTCAGTAATAATCATCCTACAAATCTGGAAAAAACATGTCAAAGCTGTGTGTGTGTGGTGTGGCACTGTGATGCATCATTTGAGCTGGTCACCTAAAGGTAAAAGGTTCAACCCCTGCAGAAGGCACTTCAATAGCCATCACCATTGTAGCAAGTGTATTGCAGTGTTTACAGTTAGATTTTTACTTTTATCTGCTTTTAGTAATATTCCAGCTAATCTATAGTTATCATTTTATTATTTAATTTCAGAAAAAAAACTTATTTTTTTCAAACGGAATCTACAGTGATTTTGCATTAACTTTGTCCAATTATTTGTTCAGAACCAAACCCAAACCGTAATAAAGAAGAACTATTAAAATGAACTGATTATTTTGACTGATATAATTTATGGTCGCATCTCGAGTAGAATTAAAGCATGATCATATTTAATGTCCCTAGAACATAATTCGGGTGTGAATGGGTTAACTATCATGCCAAATTTACTACATAATTAATTCAATTATGCAAAAAGACATCTCGCACTTACTACTTTGTCAAATCTCTTCTTCTTCCTCATCGGCTGTTTTGAGTGCTGGACCTCTTGACTTGTTGTCTTGCCGTTCTCAGGAGCACACTAGCAAAAACTGGATGTTAATCATGGCAGCAAACACACTCGCATCCCTCCGTATTCTCTTCTGGACTATCATGCCTCTGTCCAGTTTTAAATCTCCATGCGAGCAGTATTTTGGAATCCAGCGGTGGATTTCGTGGTTGAGTAAGCACTGAAGTGAGAAGGGAGTGTCCAAAGGGGGCACACGGATAACTGGACGGGCTGTTCTCATCATGAGCGCGCGAGCTGTCCGTCTCCACGCTCTCAAGCGCTCGAGCTCCTCGTTTGTTCGCAAACTGTGGGCAGGTTTCACGATTTCATGCGCGCCACTCCATTGCCGCAGGTCACATCGATTGCCAGTCAATAATATAGGGAAGGAAATCATGGGGAATTTAACGATTCTCGTTCTCTGAACGATTCTGGTTTAAGAGCTACTTTTGGGGAGTAAATATTTGAAAGAACCATATAGCAGCTGGTTTCCAAGTGATGAGATAAATTATTTCAACCAAGCAGATAAAATAAACAACCAGATTTAGGCCAAGTCTCACGAACATTACAGCGACAGTTGTTGGTTTTGAAACGGAAACTGAACTTGTGGTTATTAAATAAGTCTTTCTGATTAATTGACCCTTTTCAGATTTCCGGGTTTCTCGGAAGCAGAAGTCTTCAAAGTAGTTGGGTAAAGCTCTTTAGCGACGAATGAGAGAATACATTAAATAAATATGTTTTGTGTGTGTTCCCATTTGCTCAAATTGAAAAAGAAAAACTCCACAATAGTGATTTCACAACTTTTAAAAAGAGAGAAAAAATAGAGAGAGATTGATAGGGCAAATAACTTTTTTTTAGTTATTTGTTGCAAAGGTAATATACAAGGTAGGCTACACTATATAGTGTTATAAATCTAGATAGGCCTACATTTTTCAACAAAAAAACTAAATATAAAAAACGTTGCAGGATTTACCATGCTGATGACCATTAAAACACGTCATCAGTCTGTAAAAAAAGGGTCCATTTGGAAGCTGGTCTGTTTGATTCTTGAAAGTGTTTTGATGAGAATCGGACTACAATTGTGAATTTACAATAAAAAAACAGCTCATAAGAGTAATTTGTTCAGGAATCTGACTGCATCGCCATCGACAGACCGGGCTGTTTTTATTCATTGAAAAGGACCAACTTATAAGAGTCATTATTTCAGGAATTGGAATGGTCACGCAGCTGCATGTTTGATTCATTAAAGAACCAGCTCAATCATCGTTCAAGAATAGTACAGCATTGGTCACAAAACTGCCTTATCACCTTGTTTTAGTATCAACCTTGCTCTTATCAATCAATCAATCAAGGCCTTTAAGTGTCATGAATTTAAATGTTTCATGTCACATCTTTCTGTTGGCTAGTCATGTATGATTTATCTTTCTGGTAAGCTAGTTGTTTATTATTTATGAGTAAAATTAAGATTTTGGTTAATCTAAAATTAGGCCCTATTTGGAGATATTTTTATATCTCGATATAAAACATATAGCTACAAGCATAAAAAGTGAATATGTGCAGTTGTTGCTTTAAGGAGGTATCTACCTGATTCTACCTCTAAATTCTAATTTTGTTGTTGTAACCTAATTCAATCAGGTTTAAGTATGACTCTTGTCTGACATCTGCTCTGAAGAAAAAAGAAGGAAAGGTTTTTGTTTAGCTGCTCCTTGGCGAATTTTGCTTCAATGAGAAATTGTGATTTGGGGTTATTATACACATTGTTACATCAAAGAGAACATACATAATATAAAACAAACATACACTAATCATTTTTTGCCTCTTGTTCGGTTTAATTAAAATGAGCTAAAGCAAAAATGTATCATTGTCACAACTTAATTTGTGTTCAATTCACCTAATGTATTTTAAGTAAATTATTGTTTTAACAAATTAATTTTCTTGACGACTACCTGCGCTGCATTTCTCAAAAGCATCGTAAGCCTAAGTAGATCGTAAAGCCATTGGCACGCAATGGTCTACTACGATCAACTTAGCTCATGATGCTTTTGAGAAATGCAGCCCTAGGCAGTGGATCAGTTACCAGCATGCTTTGCAAGGGACTGCATTAGGAGAGAAAATGTAGGAATTAAGTGTTTTTTATGCGTTTATCAGTAATGGAAAAGATGTTGGTGGTAGTTTATGGTAATGTCTAATGTTCAGTTGTAAATTTAGAGGAGTTTCTGTTATTAAATTTTGTTACCATTGTGCTGAAGAGTAGATATATAGCACTTGTGCTTAGGCTGTGGGCACTAAGTGTTCCAGGTTCAATATCAATTCAAATTAATTTAAGATTACATTAATTTGACTAATGTAATTAATTTAAACATACAAATAATTTACTCTAGTCACTTTCAATCTAAATCAATTAAATTTGATTTACCCAATTAAACTGATTTATTTTAAATTAACTTAATTTTTTGAGTGTTTTTACATCAATGTGGAAAAGGACTTACATACAATTAAAATTAAAAGATTATAATCAAACGTATTAAGTAATTTTAATTTTACCTTATTGCAGGTTATATCTACTGACAATTATGTTTCAGTAAAACCTTGTTTTTTCAGGTTGGTTGAATTCAGTTTATCAGTCATTTTAAATCATTTCTTTCATTTCAACAAAACCAGCTATTTTAGATGTTACCACATGAAGTACATTTTCTAAGTTGAACTGACAAAACTTTTTTTTCCAGGTTTACCCAAACTTGCATTTTAAAACTGCAGTGTTTTTCAAAAAACGTAAGGTGCTTAAGTCGCTGTTAAATTGTTCCAACAAAATAGTAGACATTTTAAAACACTGTTCAAGGTTGCTTTTGGGCATGTTTCAAATATTTATACAGATTGCATTAAATAGCATATTCTTCTAATGTGTCATTCTGGTTCAAATCATCTATCAGTACAACAAAATTTCCATAATGACTTTGGGAATGTTCCAGCTGTGAACGTATTAACATCTTACATTCCTAATACATCTCCCATTGAGATGAAAATGAAAAGGCTGAACGTATTAAAAGGAAGATTCATCCTATCTCATATATTTGTTTGAATATGAACAGAGAGGGGGTTGTCAATAGCAAATGACAATAACTGCACAGTCAATATATGTGCATGCACAATGCATTTAATGTATTAGAGTAGACAGTCTCAAAGAGTTTAACTTTGCATGACCCCTTGCCTTATGTTAACTGCAGAGATGATGTAGTGAATTATCATAGCTCATGTTGAGACATCATGATTTTAAAATACAGCTGTTAAGAGACACCATATTTTATTTCCCATATACACTAGCTTCTGTTTCCCTTTCCTTTTCCCCATTGTCTTTTCACCTTGGCAATCACACTTTCTGTCACTGAGATGGCTAAAATTATGTGTCCTTTGGGCAGTGACAGAAGTGCATCAAAGGCACAACATGTGCATTCACATTCCATGTTCACAGTGTTCATAAGCTTCCTCCATGGCCCGTCGTTATCCTCTGCCAGTTTTACTTTGGAATCACAATACCAAACTTAACCATAATATTGGCATGGATCTTATTTCAAGCAAGAACAAAGGCCTAAACGACATGGAAAACTTAGAATTGTTGTGAACATCTTTCATATCCAAAAAAAAAAATCCAAAACAAACAAAACAACAACTCACTTTTATAGCTCAGTTACAAGCATCACAGTTTTTGGCAAAACTTTTCTAAGTAAGAATTAAGAAATGATTCCAAAAACATGCAGAATAACTCAATAGGCCTGTAGATTATTCATTATATCATGAATATATTTACATAATATCTTTATAAATGACTGGATTGCTCATGAAGGCATAAAAGGTAAAGCCACCATTTTGGTATTCCCTCACATTCAATTGAATTAATAGAAAATCATCAGATTTTAAAGAGAAAACATTACCCTGTAGTGCTTGTAACCATCTTCAAGAACTTATAATGCAGTGCTATTATGTAGGAAGTGTATAATACATTTGACTCTTGGCAATTTAGTTTACTGAGCAGCTATACACAAATTCTCATTAAAGTAAAGTAAGTGATGTGACTCCTGCAGACAATCGCTGTTTACACTATCAGGTTTCTAGTTAGATATAATTTTTGACCAGAATTTGACCTATGACTCATACATCCGTTTTAACAGCCAGTAACCGGAAAAATGCTAACTATGTGATTGTATTGAGACCGTAAGCCTCCCACAGGAAGACAATTAGCAAAGATTAGCACACCTGGTCTTTTTCTACCACGTAATGTGTAGTTTAGAGACTGTGTTTATATAGCTTCTTTTTTTTTTTAAAAACAAAAACAAATGGAAATGAACTGTGCCTTGCTCCAGAACTTTATCATTTTCACTAAGCGATATTTCAAGTCAGAATACACAGGGACACAGACATATTCTCTATTTATAGCACATCCTTCCTTTCAGTGCACTGAAAATGAGAATCCTGCTATATCTCACATTAACGTATTTTTTTCTTCTTCATTGTATGGACAAAAACACTAAGCAGTATTGGAATGACATCAGGATGAATAAGTGATAATTTAATTTTTCAGTGAACTTTAAGAACAGATTCATTCAATTTACACGTAATTTTACTCATATAATGGGGCCAACTAACCAATGCGGCAATCATCAATTTTAGGATATTTTTCCAGAAAACCTGTTAAACAAGCAGTGTAAACATTACAGGATGTGTCTGTCAGTATTGTTATACCTTTAATCCTGCTGTCCCATCTTGCAGAATAAAAAATGTTTATGTACAGCACATTCGTGCTTAAGCTCATGACTAGCATCTGTCCATTTATTGGCATTCACTCTTCACTTCAATTGACTACTTGAAAAAACACTTGGGTCAAATGTCAAACTGCTGACTCATTGTAAATCTCAGGGAGAACATCCACTGGCATTTGAAAGTTAAACAGTGCCCATTCTTTTTTAGGGGCTCACAGTATATAAATAGAGGGCCGTTTTCTGATCTTAGCAAGATAACGGTCTAATCCACGTTACATAACATTTTGAGAAGCAACCCCTTGACCCATGCAGTGTGAAAATATTTAGCTTGTGTTTGCCATGCACGTGAATGAGCTTATGCTATGCCTTAGAAAAACACTGGCATTGCATGAAGTTTCACCATACAGTGTGGTCAGTGGGAAAGTTCTCCTGAGCAAACGTTTACTTGGACCATTTTATCAGTCCATCTCCAAGTCAAAAGACATTACATTGAAATAGCACCAGCGAGAAAGTTATTATGAAATTCTTAAATAATTTAGAAGTTGTTTTGAAATAATAATAATACATTTCACCATTAATGTATAATGAATAGATGTCCGTTTTTATTTTT